AGTTGCCCTGAAGCCACTCAACCAGATCCTGCTGTACCTCGTCGGGGAGACTCCAAGCTTGCTTGGGAGCATCATCAGCCTTCCTCTTGCCCTTGCCCTTGCCCTTCTGCTTTTTGCGACCTGGCTCTTGCTCCTCCTCCTCCTTTTCCCCCTCCTCCTCTTGACGTGGGGTGGGTTCCGGGGATTTCGGAGAACCAGGCTCTTCCGACACAGGATCCTCCTCCTCCACTCGCATGGCGCCCTCCCCAGTAGTGTTGGCAGCGGGTGTGGTCACAGGGGTGGTGGTTGCAGCATTGGTGGTGGCAGCAGATGTAACACCTGAACAGGCAGAATAATAAAAGTATCTTTTAATAAACAATAATCGTTTATAAAAAATATACATACAAATAATAACTTTTTTTTGGGGGGGGGGGGGATAATTTCTTCAGCGACATGCTTTTCATTCCAAATTTGGCACACGAGATAAAATATCCTCCCATTAAATTGTTTTTAATCACAGTATGCATTGCACGTTACTCAAAATTAATAGTGTACACAAAATAAATTTAAAAAAAGATTTCCTACTGCTATCTTCTATAATGCATAACAACTTTTTTCTTTAAATGAATGAATTTTGAACGAACAGTGGTCCATCATTCCTTGACGAAGATTTAAAAATTTAAAAAATTATAACATAAATTGTACTCACCATCAAGAGATTCTTCCTCCTCTTCAACTAGACTGGCAGCTCGATCTTGGACTGACAGCAGGACTGGCCTCGACCTCGCCACGAGCACTCGGAACTTCGGCAGCAGAGTGGACGACAGCTTGCACCTCCACTGTGACTCCTGCCTTGGGCTTCTTGGCGGCCTCCACTGGCACTGGGCTGCCTTCATCTGCTGCCTTCGCCCTCGGCTTCTTGCTCGCACGCTGCTTCTTCTTCTTGGCCGAGGAACTCGACGTGGGCTTCTTCTTCGGTGCCATAGCTTGATCTTCACGGGACTGTGTCTTGAGCGGTTATGATTTCTACAGCCCGGTTCGGCTGCTTTATTATACCCGTGGTAGGCCGCGGTACCGCCGCGCTTCACCCGCGATAAGGACGCGGAACAGTCGCCGGCGTCTGTTCCGCGGGCATACCACGGGTAAACCGCGGGTAAGCCAATTTTGCACATTTTCCACCACGGGCAACCGCGGGCAAAAAAAAAATCGCGAAATTTTACCCGCGATACTGACGCGAAAGGCTGTGTGACCGGGCCTTCAACTCAAAATCGAATAAAAGAGCATTATTTTATGAACACAAACAAATAAAGAAGGGTTCAACGTAAAGTCCCACGTCGAATGACGTAAATTATGGTCTGAAGCACTATTTCATTCAAATGAGACACTTCCTAAAGATTAGAAAATTTAATGTTAACCATTTATTTTTATGAGTACATTATGTAGGTGAAAAATAAATGTCTGTTTTTAAAATATATTACAAGCGAGTATCGTATCATCTCTGCCTATCACAGAATCCAAAGTTTGTGCCAGATACGTTTTGTAGAGCAATATATATATAGGCGAGGATCGCGCTATATTATAAGTAGCGTTTTTGCGTCCCGGACTCGGACCCAAAACCAAATCTCGAAAGCAAAATGCAAAAGCCTACGTCTCGCTTTTTTGCTTTGCAGGCGAGACAAAAAACGAGTGTTTTGCCAGGGCCTTGGTTGGTTTCTTTCTATTTCACTTTAATATATATTTTTTTAGTGTGGGCGAGGGGGGGGGGGGGGCTTGAACTCCCCGAGCCCCGCCGTAGCGCGGGCCCTGATCATTATTATTATTATTTTTTTAATCTTATTTTGATATCTTCATTCCATTAAAAAGTACAGGCCAACAATTTGTATCATACGCAATGAAAAATCTAAAATAGGGTAGGCCTACGTTGTTATAGCATATTACACATAAAGACAAGCAAAGTTTATTATAATAGGCTCAATACTCATGCAGAGCCAGGACAGAGCTGTTAACGGTGAAATACATGTACAAGTGCACTTTAGCCAATTAGTTTAGGATTCAGATATATACACCAAGTCGTATAGCATGTGTCACGATTCCCGAATGAATCAAAAATCCACGATCGTTTACCTCTTTTCTAAAATAACTACCACCAAATAGTTTTAATGTCCTTACGAGCAAGGCGATCTAGCGATCTAATCTTAATCGTGGATACAAATCGATACATTTTGACATCATTATAAGATAAATCTGAATATGTGAATTTCAAATGCTTTTACTTTGAACGTTATGTTACGTTAATTTCACAATTACAATCAACACAAAGCAACTCGTTCATATAAGATTACTGAGTACATCGCAACACTGGTATGAAAGTGATGTATATAATCATAACGTAAAGTTCTCAGGGGCGTCGCTAGACCTTTTTCAGTGGGGGGGGGGGGGGGGGTGTAGAGGCCAACGATTACCGACAAAACTAGCCACCAATTACCGACAAAATTAAATGTCCAATATCTACAAATTCAACCCTATAAACCTGGGGCCGAAGGCTAAATTTGTTTCTCCTATGGACTATCTATAGTACTTGCATATGCGCAAAATGGTCATTTTCCTCGACGACATAAATATGCGAATTATTTCTTCAATTTAGTCAGCATGATAGCTATATATTTTAATGCAGGCGCGGAGCTAGGATCTTATTTTAGGGAGGGGCGGTAGTGAGCAAGAGAATCACATAAAAGCGCGCTCATTAGGGGGGGGGGGGGGGTGTGGGTGATGGGCCTCCCGCGCGGAAGCTTAGACGTTTCCTTAAATTATTAGGAAAAGAAGACGATTAATTGTACCGTTTTTCGACTGGTAATCCTTGGCTGAATGAATCCCCCCCCCCCTCCCGCGCGAAAGCTTTGACGTTTCATTAAATTGTTATAAAAAAGAAGACGATTTGCTGTACCGTTCTCGACTGTTTATCCTTTTCTGAATTAAGTTCCCCCCTCCCGCGCAGAGCGCGGAAGCTTTGACATTTCATTAAATAATGACAAAAAGCAGACGATTCGTTGAACTGTTCTCGACTCTTAATCCTTATCTGAATGAAGCTTCCCCCTCCCGTTTTGACGTTTTTGACGTTTCATTAAATTATTAGAGAAAGAAGACGATTCGTCGTACCGTTTTCGACTCTTAATAAGCCCTATTAATTTTGTCTGAATTCAGTTTCCCCCTCTCGCGCGAAGCGCAAAAGCTTTGACGTTTCCTCAAATTATTAGAGAAAGAACACGATTTGTTGTACCGTTTTCGGCTCTAAATAAGCCCTATTAATTTGTCTGAATTCAGTTTCCTAGTCTCGCGCGAAGCGTGGAAGCTTTGACGTTTCCTCAAATTATTAGAGAAAGAACACGATTCGTTGTACCGTTTTCGACTCGTCTAAATAAAGTTTTCCCCTTCCGCGCGAAGCGCGGAATTTTTGGCGTTTCATCACAATATAAAGAAAGGAAGACGATTCGTCGTACCGTTGTTGACTCTTAAACCTTGTTTGAATTAAGTTTCCCCAAAAAAGTTTAACCTCTGATTTCTTTAGCTGATATCATAGGAAAGTGAAACTTCGAGAAAATACAAGTATTGTAGTTGTAGTCACTCTCGAAGTCGTCACAGCGGATAAGAAGTCACAGTTCGTAGGGAAAAAAACTTGTCGGCCGACCGACAATATACATCTGACCGACTTCAAACTTCTGCATTGATATAGTACACGAGGATCGAGCAAGAATACCGACACAGCGACATATTTACCCGTGTCTTTCTTGCTCAATCGACGAGACGACTCCACCCAACAACCTCCTTCTCTCTTTTACTCCCACTCCTCCTCTCTCAGACTCTTACCTCCCATCTCTCTCCTCTCTTTCATCCCCCGTTTCTTTTGTTTCACTTTCACTCTTTTTTCTTCTTTTTTCCTTTTCTTTCTTTTCTTTTTTTGCCTTTCTTTCCTCTCCTCCCTCTTTTTCTTTTTTCCTCTTTCTTTCTTCTCTTTTCTTACCTTTCTTTTTCTTTCTTTCCTTTCTTTTCCTTTCTTTCTTTTCTTTTCCTTTTCTTTTTTTCTTTTCTTTCCCTCTCTTTTTTCCCTCTCTTTTTTTCCCTCTCTTTTTTTCCCTCTTTTTTTTCCCCTCTGTTTTTTCCCTCTCTTTTTTTCCCTCTCTTTTTTCCCCTCTCTCTTTTCCCTCTCTTTTTTTCCCTCCTCCTTTTCTCTTTTTCCCGACGGCAGCGCAATTTTACCGACAATATCCTGACAGGTGGGGGGGGGGGGGGTGTCGCACCCCCACACCCCCCCCCCCTTTGGCGACGCCCCTGAAAGTTCTACCGATAAGGGAACAGGTGTGAGAACTAGGGTGCCTATATAATCATAGTCAAACATTGAAGACGCCAATAGTGTTTCAAGAAATTACGGGCAGGAGTTATGTAGGGAACACTTTATGCTGGATATGCTAAATATTTACTACACAATACTTATTATGTTGAAAATATACAAAATATATCACAAAATAGGTGAACTATTAAGGTGAGTTATAGCCCGCGACGGTCGTTAAAGGAGAACATTCTGATGCCGGAGGTGCAGATCAAGAACGGAGGAGACATGGCTTAGATAATAGAGTTCAGGAGTCCCTTCCTGAACTGTCTTCAGTTTTAAAGTTACGTTCCACAAATTACAATTTATTAAACAAAATAAGTCGTTTATACTACTACCGCTGAGTAGATCGCGACGTCGGCATGAAATGGATGTATATATATATATATATATGATAATAATAACGTAAAATTCTACACTCAGGTCTCAGGCTGTGGGTGAGAGACGTCCGGTGCCCATTTTCATCGATCACAATTGCAGTCCAACATTGAAGACGACAGTAGTGCTCAAGAAATATGGTAATACCATTTAACAGTCAGGGGATATGGAGGGATCACTTCATGCTGGATGCGCTGAATATTGGACTACGTACTAAAAGTATGTTGAAATATACAAAATATGTTGCAAAATAGGTGAATTATCGAGGCTGGTTGACCTGCGACGGTCCGCGTTTACAGGAGAACATTCTGATGATAGTAGCACGGAACAGAGGCTGTGACATGGCGTAGGATATAGGGTTCAGAAGGCTATTCCCATACTTCAGATTGCCGAAGAAAATGAAAACATCATTTGGCAGACCAGTTACGACAAGACGAGGTTCGATAGTGTAGATTAAACCGATTACGCTAATCGGAATCCATGTCAGTACGAAAGCGATGACGATGAGGAGGAGAGTACGAGTCGCCTTCGTCATTTCAGCCGTCGATTCCCCGCGACATGACGCCGATGTCTGAGTTGTTAGAAAGAGAAACATACCGGGACAAAGGATCAAAGAGAAAAAAAAAGAAAATTATAAACACCGTAGATTTTGATAAGAACATATACAGCCAAAAATATACAAGCTATAAAACGAATTCTTGTATTTAGACTGGTATTTGATCTTCCAATGGAATCTATTCAAACTTTAAAAAATACCAAAAACGTAAACTAAACAACTATGTCACCTTTACATTTTCGTTAAGCGCCAATTCCATATTACTTTCGTAGTCACATGGGACAGCGAGGGGAATTAGTCCTCAATGATTAATTTTTAGGGATTTTGTAAGAAAATGTTGTCAGCAAACAGCCTATATCGTTCGGTGTAATCATTAGGATGAAAAAAGGATAACTGAAGAAATCCGGAAGTTTTACAGCATGTTGTACAGTAAAGTAGAGTACGAGTGCTCGGATAATTGTTGTAATAGTTTCTTTCAAGGTTTACCAAAATTGACTGAAAAATCTCGAGAATACTGTGAAGGATCTATATGTAATAAAGAATGCCTAGAAATCTTAAAAGAATTAAAACAGAACAAATCACCTGGAAATGACGGTTTTTCTTCAGAATTTTATCGTACCTTTTGGCCGGATATTGGAGATTTAGTTAAAGATGCCTTGAATGAAGCATATAGATTAGGAGAATTAGCATCGTCTCAAAAACAAGCTGTAATTACGTTAATCGCTAAAGATGGGAAAGATCCCTTTTCACTGAAAAATTATAGACCCATTTCCCTTCTTAATGTCGATTATAAAATCTTAACAAAAATTTTGGCTAAGCGAATCAAGAAAGTATTAAATGAGATCATTATGGGAGATCAGGTGGGCTACATGAAAGGGAGGAATATTGGTGAGGCCATTCGCATTATAGATGATATTATTTTTCATACATCCCGTTACAATTTATCTGGTTTTTTGTTAGCTGTAGACTTCGAAAAAGCTTTTGACTCAATTTCACATCAATTTCTTCAAAAAGTTCTGTCGTCATTTGGTTTCGGTCCGTCCTTTCAAAAGTGGGTTAAAGTTTTATACATGAACACTCTAAGTTGTGTATTAAATGAAGGAGGGTCCACTGGTTATTTCAAAGTAGAAAGGGGAGTAAGACAGGGAGACCCTCTTTCTCCGTACCTCTTTTATTTTGTGTATTGAAGTAATGGCACACAAATTACGAATAGATAAATTGGTGGACGGAATTAATTTTGGAGATAAGGAAACTAAACTAGTACTTTATGCGGATGATATGACAATTTTTGTTCGCAATAAAAAATCAATTAATAGGTTAAAAGTATTATTTGCAGATTTCGAAAAAATTTCTGGACTGAAAATAAACAACGACAAGACTAAAATATTAAGGTTAGGTTCATGTCAACGTTTAGATTGTGATTTTGCTTTTGGCGAAATAGTTGACTTTCTTAAGGTTTTAGGGATTTTCTTTTCCCTCGATGAACACAGGAAAGAAGATCTAAATTATAAAGAAATCATAAGTAAAATAAAAACACTTTTAAATTTTTGGAAGCAAAGGGACTTAACACTTATGGGTAAGATTCAACTATTGAAAGTGCACATTTATTCTAAAGTTCTTTATCGGGCGTCACTTACTCCTGTTCCAAAATGGGTTTATGATTCACTGGATGAATTAACTTTAGATTTCATATGGAAAGGAAAAACAGATAAAATCAATAGAAACACCATGTTCTTAGACTATAACCAAGGGGGGTTAAAGATGTTACATTTTTCTGCACAAGTTAAATCGCAGCGAATTATGTGGATTCAAAAACTTCTAAACAAAGATGAAGACATGAAATGGAAACAATATTTTAACTTTGTCACTGAACACGTGGGTGGAGATTTGATATTTTCATGTGACTATATACCAAGTTTATTAAAAGTGACAGCTCCACAATTTTATATGGATTTATTAGAAGATTGGGTGAATACGAGACATATAAGGAGTATAGACATTGGTGATGTGGTAATTTTTAATAATAAACTTATTCGATATAAAGGAAGTTGTATATACGATAAGAGGTTGTATGACAAAGGAATTTACAAATTAAAACATATTCTGGAAAACGATGGTAAACTAAAAAGTGACAGGCATTTTATCGATTTAGGTGTTGAAGTAAATGAAATTGAAAAGATCAAGCACTTTTATGCCTGTTTACCAGTTTGTTGGAAAAATAATTTTAGAAAGGGAGAAGAAAAAAATAATTCTGGAACTGATTTCACTTTGGGGAAGAAAACAACTAATATAGCTGATTTAAAATCAAAACAAATTTATGTACAATTAATAAAGAAAGATGATTTTAAACCTTTGGTTTTTGAGAGAATTGGAAGGAACTATGGTTTTTCCTGTAAGGAAATAGAAAACATATTTTTAAGACTAAGACAGTGTACACTTAACAGTCGATTAAGAGAGTTTCAGTTCAAACTTATACATAATATATTATATACAAACCATCACCTCTTCCGTTTTGGTCTTGTCTCGACTAACTTATGCTCATTTTGCGAAAAAGATGAAGAAACATATAAACATTTATTCTATACTTGTGAATTTGCACAATCAGTGTGGGAAATGTGCACGAGATTTTTAGACTTTGAAATACATAACTGTAGTTTGGAGGAAATTCTGTATGGGAAAGAGGAGAGAAATAAAGGAAAATATCAATTAATGAATCATGTTTTAATTCTTGTTAAATATCTGATTTATAGAAATAGAGAACTTAAAAACCACCCTCTTTTAATGAAATAAAGAATAGTATAATAGGGGATAAAGTAGAAGAAAGGAAATTGGCAGCAATGAGGGGAACTCTCACTATTCATTTTTCTAAATGGGAAAACCTGAGTATTAGACAAACAATTGGAACCCAGAGCCAGTCGTCCACCGGTTAAGGGGGGGGGGGGGAGGGGGATAAGGGAGAGGTCGGGTAGGGTAGGGTTAACAAAAAGAGAAAACTTTTCTCTCAGGACAACAGTATAAAAAGAAGTATAAGTTGCTACATTGTTAAAACAAAAAAAATTGGATTATACAACTGCATATGTTTTCTTTGAAAATATGAATTTTTGTTTCAAATATGATGTATAGGAACTAACTATGTAAGTTTCTTTTGAAGCCGTTTGTAAGACAAAAATTTATACTGATTTATAATGTCATCACATTTGCAGTGAGAGTTACATATGATGATTGTAATTTGTACTATGATTATAATTTGTTTCAAGAGAGAAAAGAATAAAAACTGACCATAAAAAAAATTAGGGCAGCCAATCTCTTTATTTATTTGGTACAAAAGTTGGCCTTAGTTGTTCAGATGAGAGATAGTGGTGCTAAGGTAGTGACTTCAATGCTGGATGTACAATTAAAGATAATCTGAAAATTTGAGTGAAAACGGATCATTATTCATGGTACAAATTTGGAAAAACTGATCTGATCGATTCCTTAATTATTCTCCCAACTATATTATTCTACTTCTATTCTGCTACTTTTTGGTCAAAGCCTGTTCAGCATCAAGACAAGGACAATTTAATTACATTTTAGGTGAATGTAAATCGTCACAAAGTAATAAAATGGCTCTACATTCCATTCCAGGCAGTTAATTGTTGACAGATTTTTATAGCCTGTTTTATGTGTTTTTCTCATGGAAAAACGGTTGGGAAAATTCAAAATTGGTTGGGAGAATTTACTGTTAATCACTGTTAGAGGGTGCCTCACATCGACGCCTTTAAAGAAAACCATAGATATCTTTGTGGTCTGAGAATTTGTTTAGGATTTTTTGCATGTCAGAGGGTTAGTATAGTAGAAGGAATATAGTAAGTAACATTTTATACAAAAATTATGCAATTTTTTTCATCAACCTTCAACATATGTTACCGAGTCACTTTAATTGAACATGATTGCCAAGAAAACTTAAGAGAAATTTGAGCGCCCTATCAACATCATAAAGAAATCGTGTTCAGATTTGTACGTTAACAGTTGGGTGTTTGGACTTTTTCGAAGGTACCGAGTAATTTTACAAATGCCCGAACAAAATGATGAGTATTATTTGTTTTATAAGATGACGTTTTATTTGTTTTATAACATGATTTTACTATAATGACCGGTCATAATATAGTAATAAAATTACGTGTTATAGGCAAAATAAATGCCTGGTCACGTGTACGCTCTCAATCAATCATATCGTTAGGATCCGCTTCATCATCTTAGAACAGTTTTGATCATATTCTCATGTTGGGATAGGTGACGGACAAGGTTACTGACGTCTTTGCCATCGTGTTATTAATTAGAGGAACATTCTGTAGATTACGTACCGATACTTCTTGGCCACTATTTCCGATCTTGGTCTCCTTACGTGATGGAGATGTGGTGCCCTCTTTTCTCCCTGTCTCCGTAATGTCACTAAAGGAACCTGTATGCGATGTCGACGAAACGCTTTCACCCGTCATCTCAGTGTCCTTGGAGCTAGATAGGTGGAGGTCCGCAAAATTGGTCGACTTCTTGTTGTTCCGTCTTTCAACCGTCTTCCGAATCTTGATGAAGATTCTGACATAGAGGACGGCGATGATGGCCAAAGGCAAGAAGAACGTGGCCATACTTTGGATCATATTTGCCCACGGACTGAGATGGAACCGCTGAATACAGTGAGGTCCGTTGTCGAAATCGACGACGAACTCCCACACGGTGACGTACCCTATCCAGAACGAGAGTCCAATCACCCATGGCAGAGAGTTGATGATGACTGCCTTGCGCTTTGATCGAGAGATGTAATGGTTAATGGGATCATAGACCGCTTGATGTCGATCAGCGCATATCACAACCACGTTGATGTTAGAAGCATTGACGATTCCTTCGAAGATCCCACTTATGACCTTACAGGCATTCTGAGAAAACGGATACCGGCCGATGTACGAGTGCTCTATGACAGCTCCCAGTCCGATTCCAACCAGCAGATCCAGTATGGTCAGGTTTATGATGAAGTAATTATTGTAGGTACGGAGACGTTTTTCTACTAAGAATGCGCCAAGACTGATGATGTTGGCAAGTACAATGAGCGCGAAAAAGACAACGGGGAAGATGAGACTCCTCAGACGAGGTGGAGTTGTTCCAGAGGGATCCAAAGATTGAGTAGTGACATTCATGTATTCACTTGCATTCTGGATATCAGTCCAAAACATGTCCGTTGAGTAGGACTGCGTGCTATTCGAAATATCGGCCATGATCAATGTTGCACCTCACACAGAATTGCAAGTAAATACTTCTCTTACCGAAAAGCAGAAGTTTATATACAGTCATATTTAGATGCTATTTCCCTCAACGAATCAGAAGCGAGAAGTAGAATTAAATTGTAGTCCTATTTAGTTTCAAGCTTGTCAACTCTACAATGGAGAATAACTTTTTAGTAAACCTACGATCGATCGTCCTTGTCATGCCGCAGCTGCGGAAGTTTAACTTTTAAAAGCAACTTACAGAAATAAAATTGACAACCTTTTACGAGTTCAAATTTTGTAATCATTTTCAAAGGCCGCAAAATCCAGTGCGAAAATTAGTCTCTAAAAATAGATGTCTTCGATCTACAGCGATATATTAAACGTACTCAACCTACAAAAGTGTTGGTCCTTGAAACATATTCGTGTGTTCATATTAAATAGTATTATTTGCCAGGGAAAAGTTTTATTTTGATTTCCGATTCAAAGTTCTTTAAGAGCTTGGTGGCATTACCGTTTTCTAAATCTTATTGAAATTTCGTTCGCTCAACGAAACCATCATGGCGCTATATAGGCTTATTGTATTTCAAGAAAATTAATTAAAGAAAACATGTAATAGACAAACACTTTTAATGGCTTTTAATCTGAAAACATCAGGGAATTGGCAGTCAAGAACAACTATACTTTGAGAAGTCCTTTTTAAATCATACTGCATTGTTGATGGTTACCCGATTTGGAAATAATCCTCTTATTCCGCATATATTGCCAGAAGTGTTCCCGACGGGTACGTTCGGTTTTTCGATGCAATTAGTGAGACCTCGGTAATAAGCTCATTACAAACTTATTGATGATAGATGTATTGAGAAGGCTAAGAACGGTATTGACTTACTTTTAACGTGCCATTTCTATCGCTCTCGTGGGGCTTAGTAGATTGCATCAATTCTTTTTAGTCGAAGAGCTTTTTTTTCTTTGCATTAAATATTTTGTATTCCTATTATTTCTATTTGCGTGGTGGTTGATTATTACAATTTATCTCCGTAAAGCATGCTAACTGAGAATACACATTAAAATTACTAATTCTCATTGTTAACGCATTCTATCAGAGAACTAGATACCATTAGAGAGTTATCGGAAATCACATCGAGAGGCAGTCTCTTTATCAAAGGATATATTGTATATGCAGGTCATTTGATTTCCTGCACGCAGAACAAGCGTCATGGCGTGACTTACAAGACTGATCTATCATCCTTTGGGAAAATTTAGTATTTCAAGTGTTATCATATCCAAATGGATGGGCGTTTTTACCCTCCCTTAATGATAAGGTCCTCTCTCATTGTGGCTAATTTCACTATGAATATGACGGACAAAGAAAGAGGACAAAATATACAGTTCCTCATGTAGACAAAGGAACATCCCTTCACTGCTATTATGTAAAAATGTGTAGAACAGGTGTCACATGCATAGTCACCTGTTCTACACATTTATTACATAATAGCAGTGAAGGGATGTTCCTTTGTCTACCTGAGGAACTGTATATTTTGTCCGCTTTCTTTGTCAGTCATGTTCATAGTGTTTAGATCACCACTTACCTTCTGAGTGTGTGAGCGACGATGACCTTTTTGATTTATTAAGACCCATTCAAGCTAATGACCAATCCTTTAATTGTTAATGTGCTAGGAACCTTGAAGAAATTGTTGATGAAAATATAAATATCATCCGAAGAGTTGAATTTGAATTTTGATCGCGAGGATCCAGCATAACAATCTTTTACAAAGCATATAACAAATATACAATATTATTAAAGATTTTAATAGTGAAACATTCTCTTTAATGCTTGTAAATATACAAAGTTACAATAAATATTTTGATGGATTTCAATCATTTTTAGATAACCCTTCCAATAAACAGCTTTCTTTCATAAGACAAACAGAAACTTGGTTATCCCATGATCCTAATAAATCCTTTTTTAATCGATAGATATGATTTTGTCTTTGAAAATAGGCTAAGAAGAGTCGGCGTTGGTGTTGCTTTATCTTTAATTATGTTGTGCATGATAATATTTCAATAATCAATAATGACTTTGAAATTCTTTTTATTGAAATTATGAATCCTGGGGTATTCCAACCCCAAATAATGTTTGATACAGTGAGGCACGTAGCCAGAGTTTGATGTTTGGGGAGGGGGAGGGGGGGGGGGGGACACATACATGTAATCGATCGACGTCCTGGGGAGGGGTCTATAAGAGTTCAACCGATCCTGGAATTTGAAAAAAATGGAGGGGGGCACGTGCTCCCCGTGCCCTCCCCCACCCCCCCCCCCCCCCCCCCCTGTGGCCACGTGCCTGGATGCAGTTAAATTATCCGACTTATTACGAAGTCCAGCGTTTATTAATATTTGTTTTTTTTAATGGGGGACTTTAATACAAATCTATTAAATCATGAACATGAAAATGTGTCAAAAGAGTTCTCTCCGTTATGCCTTTTTTAAATTCCTTTTATTTCCAAGCCCACTCGCGTAACAAACTCCTCAGCCTCCCTGCTATTAGGTCATTCGTTTAAAATGGTGACATTTCTTTATTGTCCTCTTTTTACCTCTATATTCTGTCTCTCTCACTTTCTCTCCTGTCGTGTCACCCATTCTTGGTTGTTTTACCCGACTCCTTAAAGAAAGCATGTGTATGCTTGTAAGCAACTGACGGCTTTAAGTCCTCTCTGGGGACTTGGTAATGTGGATTAATGCCTTACTAAAGGGCACTAGCGCATTGACTTGCTTTCGAACCCAGGACCTCCCTGTCACGAGACCACTGCTCTACCACTGAGCCATCGGGCCTCCTCAATGTACAGTCCTATAGTTCTTTCTTTCCTTTTCCTGTGCCGTGTATACATGCACAAATTATTTAGTAGTAACTCTATATTTTGTTTCTCTTTCTGTCATATGTCTTGTCACCCATTCTTGTTCGTTTTACCCGACTCCTAAGGAAGCATGTGACACCTTTAAATCCTCTCAGATGGAATTAAGAATGTTCAAAGCGAATTAATGCCTTACCAAAGGGCACTATAGTGCATCGACTTGCTTTCGAACATGGAAACTCCCAGTTACAAGAACACCGCTCTACCACTGATAGGCACTGAGCCAACAGGGACTTTTAGATTCGCACGAAGACAATGGGGATTGCTACGGTCGACGTCCTTTTAATGCACTGCCTTGAATGGAGATTTTTACACTCTCGCAAACAATGTCTCCTGTTCATCCAAGCGTGAACACATACCACACAAAATGATACTAAATGATCCGGGGTAAAACACTCGTTCATAAGATGTATAATAATTTACTGTTCATAGATGATTTTTAAAATAATTTGCAATTTTCTAGTTGTAAACATTTTTTAGACTCGCACTGTATTTTGTCTTTCCCTCTCTCCCTGTCTCTCCGGTCCTGTCACTCACTCTTACATTTCCTCTGAACATGTATGTATATCTTCATTCATTGCCTTTTACTAGAATTAAAGATAAACTTGAGTTTTGGTAAAAAAAGAAAATGAATTCTCACAGAATCTAACGAAACTTACACTGAATGTTCAAGATTACAAATAAATGTTATGTGCCAAACAATTCTGGAAGAAAATGTATACTGCCTGAGTAATGAGCATAGAAAGATAAGGAAAACAGGGTAGTACTAGCCCCGACACCATGTGTGTTGTCCCATATACATCTTTCTGTGTAAGTGATTGTTACTTTACCAAGACTCTGCCAAATTTATGATGATTTTGATGACTCCAGAACCTTGCATTACACACCATTACTTACATGCTATATGATCAACTTTTCTGATTCATTCCACACCTTTTCTTTCACAATGCAATCGCATTACCAGAACTCAAGTTTATCTTTAATATGAATGTAATATGAACAAATACAAGACAAATCAAACTTCTTGAAAGACGATGTCAATAATATATTGAAGTAGACTTGGGAGCTACTTTATAGACACCATAACCAGACATGAAATACTCACTGGAAATGTATCAGGCAATCAGGCTTGACATCCTTAACTTCCAGTAAAGGTACGTCTGTTCGGTTGAGGTGTCGGTTGCATGAGAGAGAGAGTTCAGGTTGACTCTCATCCACGGAAGCTTCCAATAGGAATAGCGCCCTCTAGTGGTGAGGGTGGCTATTGCAGACTGCAGACGTCGTCTGCTAGCGTAGGCTGCTACTGGATACGGCTGTCGTCGTCTGCTAGCGTAGCTTGATATAAAAAACTACTACATTCCCCCCCGTTTCAAAGAACTCATCCCAGGGAGAACTGAACCCCTCAAAAAAAACTCGGGTGCCACAATTAGTGGCTGAAACCCGTTAAGACCGGCTTTTGCAACAGCCAGGTCCATCAATAACAACACACAAAATGTACAGAAAACAATGCCATCCTCCGGGAAAAAGAATTTCTTACTCTTTCCGTGAACAAAACCCTCCCTCCTTTGCCAATTTACAAAGGACAACCCTATTATACATCCCATAAATAAAAAAACTATCACGCCCTCAAAAGGGCAATTTCATTATACACAGAATAATAGAAAAATAACATGCCGATCCCCTTTCTTTGTACTGAAAAAAACAAACAAGGGTGATCCAAACAGTATAGTTTTTTCGTTTTTGGAAAGGAAAAGCAGAAGCAAACGAAATCAAAGGGCGAATCGAGTGCCAGCAATGTGCAATTTATTTTAAACCAATGCAGTTTAAATAAAATGGCCTCGAAAAGACCACACCCAGTTTGCTACATCTATACAAATCATCAAACATTCTCCACAAATCACAAACATCCCCCAATAATCACTATTCCCCGATATCCCGGAGGGAATTGTTCAAGGAAAACATTACAGGGGTCAGTCACTTCGACACCCCACTCAAATCATTGCAGGAGTCACCGTCATCATCCCCCTTAAAACATTGTAGGGATAATAAACATCATCCCCCTTAAGATATTACAGGGATAATCAACATATTGTAAGGATAATCAACAACATCATCCCCCTAAAAACCTTACAGGGATAACAAACATCATCCCTTACCGGAGCTTATAGAGATGAAGCCCGTTCTTAGTGGTAGCCTCCAGTACTTTGAGCAGGGGCTCTTCCCGCGCAGAGGCCACCATTGCCCCCACCTCCCCGATGTAAGCAGGAGTGGAATGCTTCACTCCCTGGGGAGGGAAATACGGGGAATCCGTCTCCAACAGAAGCCTGTCCAGAGGAACCTGCTTCAAAGCCGCAAGCTGAGCCGGGGAGAATTGACTTACCATAGGAGTAAATCCAAAGTACACATGCTGGTACTCCTTTCTCCAGGCAGCGATCTCCCCGGAACCCAAGGAACAGCAGTGGATGTGAATCCTCTGATGCCGGGTTACATGCTTGCCCACTATTCTGCGACATTCCCGAGAAGGAGCTATTCCGAGTGGATCGGACTTCTCCCCCCGCAGGTGCAGGATTAAAACACGTCCCGCACACCCAATCGCAAGCTGCGCAGCCAGCAAACGGCGCTGAGGTTCCCAGCGATCAGCAGCCACGGAGAAATCCAACCCCATCTCCCCGATTGCCACCACTTGACCCCCACACACCATATCTGCGACCAGGTCCACATCACGCCACCCAATACTCGAAATTCCCGCGTGCTTCGGGTGAATCCCAACCGACACAGGGAAACATGGATCTGCAGGGAGCCGAATTTCATGAAATCGACGAGGGTCAACGTAATTCATTACCCCCCCACAAAGACGCACAGGAACATTGGGGGCCCTGCCCGAAATGGCAGTCACACACTCCATCCCCTTTTTCTTTTGAACGGACTCCATCCGGTCCAAATGAAAATGGCTATCAAAAGCCCGGGGAACTGCCGGCCTCTGAGTCATCTGAGAATAAGTTGACTCAGGAGCTGGCTCGGAACCGGAAACCGGGGGTGTAACATCCATAGGACTTACCTCTGGTGCTTCCCTCGCAGGAGATGGAACCCGTGCCTCTGGGATATCCGACCCGGCATCAAAGGAGGCCTGGGGACGAACATCAGGAGCACCCGGGCTCACCTTCCGGGAAGGAGGTTCCTCCACAACTTTGCGCGGCGCTACCGCGACTCGGCGACCAAGGCGCTGCAACTCTCTCCACTGGGGGGTGGTCAATTTAGACGTCAAAAACGCCAACCACCTCCAGTGTAACAAAGCCGCAGGACTATTAGGTGGGTGCACGATCACTGCCCCGGGATTCTTCCAGTGCATCTCTGACAGGAAATATTGAGCTTCCCGCTCGAGATGCTCTGGCACGTCATTCGTGTATTCCCAAGTCTGACTCGCGCACAGGGACTTCAATCCCTGCAAATCATCGGACCCCGTAAGCGTCTTTGCGATGTAACGCAAGCAACCGACTTGCGCCAGAGTAACATCCCGCATAGGCCCAATTGCAGTTCGCAAAAAACGAAAACACTCCGGCATATGAGAGTATATATGCCATTTGATCGGGCCTCTAGGCCTAACTGAACAGCCAGGCACCGGACAAGGACGAGTTTTCCGGATGGGTCCCCCCCAACCATCATCCTCGCTAGCCCGCTTAGTCCCAGAACGACTTCTCTCATAACCCCTTGAACCACCCGAATATGTCTCAGGTGCACTGGGTCGCGGTACGTACTCATACCGCGGCCTACCCGAATACATCCCAGGTTCCCTGGTTCGCGGTCTGCGCTCAAACCGAGGCCTATCCACATACCTATCAGATCGCGGTTCATGCTCGACCCGCGAACTATCCGAATACATACCCGATCGCGGCGCGTGAGCATTACCCGGATGCGGCCTCCGAAGCTCAGGCTCCGGGAGTTGCTGTCTGCTAGCACCCCCTTTGCCATGCCTCTTTTTTCGGCGAACAACGTAATATCCCTCCGGACGATTGAAAGGGTCAGCCCCTAAATGAGGGTCGTCCTCGCCCGCAGTCTCCATAGGAGAAACGCTCTCTCCAGGAGTCACATTCCCAGGACCCGCCTTAGCTACAGTTTCCTCCCCATCTCCAGGGATCAAATTCCCCGGAGTAGACAAACTCTCCCCAGAACCCGCCCTAGCCGCAGTGTCCTCCCCAACTCCAGGGGTCAAATCCCCCGGAGTAGAGAGATCCACCCCAGTCACACCCTCCGAACCCGTGGCTACCGTGGTTGCCGGAGCGCGTGATACAGTAGGGGGAATCGAATTCGATTCCCCTGTTAACAAACCAGGCCCCTCGGGAGACCATAACCTACGGGAGGAACCCTCCCGATACTTACCGGAAAGGAAAGCCAGAGCGACAGAGACTTGCTGCGTCTCCACCATCTCCGGCTTCCACCAAGGAGTCCCTGGGTCCAGGTACAGCTTACCTGACAATATCCCCTCTTCCCGGGGACATATATTCCTGTCAGGATCCGGATGAGGAAAGCGGTTGCATAAGTCAGAGTGGGGTATACAATCGAGCAAGTGCTCCTGCAGGCACTCCACCCAACCTACCTCTCCCTTCTCTACCGCTAACAGGAACAGCCGATCCAGGTGGTCGAGCACCTCCGCCCACGGGACCAGCCGAGGAGCCATCCGGGATACCAATCCCGGATACAGAAGCCTGCGATCCGTGACCGCCTCCTCCACCAACTTGTTCAGAGCGCCCGAGAACGACGCCTCCTCTTCCGTTCCCGGGGGCGGCGGCTGAGAGCCGCCATAGTCATCATCCATCTGTAAAGGGAATTAGATCAACGGGAAAGATATCAGCATACTTACCAAAAGTATACTAACAACGTAATTCTCCCCCCCACAAAAAAAAACATTCCCCACTACTCCACCCCTCCAGGAACCTTGGCCCGGCAAGGTGGACATGAATACTTATCCATAGCCTCCCCTTCACTCGGGGAAACATCAACACACTTACCATGATACCACTCCTCACAATGGTCACACTGAATCATGAAATCCCCATCATCTGGTTTCCGGCACAAGCAATAAACTTCAGTCCGATGCACCTGCCTTTTTGTGCTACACCAGGTGGGCACGCCCCTATCTCTACATGGCTTCAGGCGATCCTGATGCCTAGTGGAGATCATGTTGCGAAGCTCCACTCGATATAGATCGGGCGACAGTCTTTCTGCTATCCGAGCTGGTCCCTTCCAGGGGGGCTTCAATTTTCTACAGACTCCCTTCAGACTAGCAGAGTCCAGAACATACACTAAATCACCCTTATTGTATTGCCGCCGGAAGGTATGGACATCATAATCCCGCTTAAGCCGTTCTTGGGTTGAACGCAGCTTTTTGCGGGCTAACTCATGTGCTTCTTCCGTCGCCTTCCGCAAACTAGCCTGATACTCACCTGCCTCGATGGGAAGGGCTGCCCCCGGCACCGGATACAACAAGTCCGCAGGCTGATTCACCTCACGGCCCAGCATTAACCGGTTAGCAGTGAAACCAGTACTTCTATTTACAGTAGTCCTAAGGGCACCCGCAATCTGAGGAAGAAACTCATCCCAACGATTTTGTGCCTTTCCGATGAAGCACCTGACAGCATCCATGAGAGTACGATTATATCTTTCCACTTGCCCATTCGAGGAAGGCCGATATGGAGTCGTCTTCGCCTTGTGTATCATCAAAGATTTACACAATCCCTGAAAAAGGCGACTCTCAAAATTCCGTCCCTGATCAGTAAACACCGCTAATGGATACCCGAATCTTGTGAAAAACTCCCCTACCGCAGCCCGAGCTGTCTCTTCCGCGGTCTGCGAAGGTAAGGGAATACACTCCACCCATTTGGTGAACTGATCCACCATCATAAGGATATATACATTCCCTCTGGATGACTTGGGCAAAGGCCCTAGAAAATCCAGGTGAACCCTTTCCATAGGGACCCCAGCATGGTACAACTCCATAGGACTGTGGCCATACCGGGTCGATTTCTTACAATGATTGCAGATCGAGCAAGTCCTCACATATTCCTTTATGTCCTGGTGCATATTATACCAGAAATACCGATCCTTTATCCTCGCCACCGTTCTATCCCGACCTGCATGACCAGCAGACGGGATATCATGGTTAGCACTCAATACCCCATCTCTTAGTGACTGAGGCACTACTAAATAATCCTGATCATTGACTCGCTTACATATCACCCCGTTAACCATATGGAACACATTGCGATTAATCCACAGATACTTCTCCGCAGGCCCCCACAACATAATGGTTGCTTTCTCCGGTTCTAGTTGATCGACCAACCAGTTCCTGAGATGACTGAGTTGAGCATCTTTACCTTGCTCAATTTGCAGACTCGCATTCGGGAGTGGTACCACATCCTCAGTGGTGACCACTTGAACCCGAAATGTTGGGACAATTACCTCATCCAGTTCCAAAGGAAAACCAGAAACAAAATCAACGGTTCCCTCAACCGCCACTGCCCGGGAAACCTTCGGTCTGTATGCCAGCGGAACCACGTAATCAACATCCTCCAAAAATGAGGCCCAATGTCGGTGCGCTTTTGTACAATATCCACAGCCTCCACAAGGTAAGTCCTCCAAGTTAAACCCTGCACGATACTCCTCGCAGACAGCCATATCCTCAGGAATTCGCGACAATGCATCCGCATTCGCATGCTTCTTACCTGGCCTATGCTCTACCCGCAAGTCATACTGGCTTAATTCCTCCATCCAGCGGGCCAACTGCCCCTGAGGATATTTGAAACTAAGGAGCCATGTGAGACTACTATGATCTGTCCGAACCACAAACTGTCTACCCAGTAAATAGTGACGATATTGCCGAGTAAATCTAACCACCGCTAGCAATTCCCGCCTAGTCACGCAATAACGCCGCTGCTCTGGAGTGAGAGCACTACTGCCATACGCAATCACTCTCTCCTCCCCCTCCTGCAATTGAAGGAGCTCAGCGCCTATTGCATCGTTCGAGGCATCAGTGTCCAAGATAAACAAATCCCGACTATTAGGCATAGTTAATACCGGAGCCCGCGTTAACCGCCTCTTTATATCCTCGAACGCCTCCTGCTGCTCAACCCCCCAACAGAAAGCATGCTTTCCTGTGATACTATACAGAGGAACCGCGGCTGCGGCGTAATCCTTGATAAAAACTCGGTGATAATTCACCAGCCCAAGGAACTGTTCCACCTGTTTAGTATTCTCAGGAGTAGGCCACTCAAGTACTGCACGGACATGCTCCCCCTTGAGCTGAACCCGATTGGCACTTACTTCCCGTCCCAGAAACTCTATCTTTTCCTGAAACAGAACACACTTTTTGGGTTTCAGCTTTAGCCCATACTGAACAAAGCGTTCCAAAACAGTCTCTAAATTCTCCAGATGATCCGCCACAGTAGCCCCGAGGACCACTACATCATCCAGAAAAGCAAGAACAATTTCCCAATTGAGACCCCGCAATACCAAATCCATCGCCCGCGAAAAAGTCGCAGGCGCATTACACAGACCGAACCCCATTCGCACGAATTCATACAGCCCGTATTTTGTGGTAAACGCGGTCTTCCTTCTAGCTTCCTCTTCGATTTTAACTTGATAGTATGCAGAGTTCGCATCTAGCTTCGAAAACCAAGCATTCCCAGAGAGAGTATCCAGACACTCCTCAATATTCGGTAACGGATATACATCCTTCCGGGTAACATCATTGAGAGCCCGGTAGTCAATGCACCACCGGACTCCCCCGTCCCGTTTCCGGATTAACACTGGGGCAGATGCCCACTCCGATATAGAGGACCGGATAATCCCTGCATCTAACATTTTCTCTAGATGAGCCTTCTCTTCTTTCGCGAAACTAAGCGGAGTCCGCCGCATTTTCAGCTTAACCGGAGCAGCGGTTCCTGTGTCTATTGGGTGCTCTATAGCCGTAAAACTCCCAAAATCAAAATCATCCCGCGCGAACACATCCGCGAATTTGACCAATAACTGACGAAGCTTTACTCGCTCGTCCTCTGCCAATAAAACACACGAACGCTCATACAGCCCTTCCAAATAAGAGGGGAAATTCTCATTCTCATTCCCCCCGTTGTAAGCTGGCGAACCGCGGGAAAAGGGACAGTATTCGAGTCTCCTTCCGTCCCTAACTCCTGAGCCTCGCCTAAAAGTTCAGACACTCGCAAACAAATATTACGATCCGTCGGGTTAATCACGTACAACTCCATCCCATTTCCTCCCCCATGTATCACAGAAGGTGCTAGGACTGATAGAGTACTTATTGGCTCAAAGATGAAATCACCCATACGCTGATCCATAATACAGGAAACCCGTTTGACATGGTTAGGAGGAATTACCGCAGACTTACCTAAGTACACACGGGCCACCCTCCCTTGTCCTGGGCCTTCACCAAATTCCATGGGGATAAATTCTTTCCCTACTTGGAGACGAGACTGCCGAATATGTATATTAACCCCATGCTTATGGAGAAAATCCACACCCAGCAGCATGTCATCCTCGATCGGAGCAACATACAAATCCTCAGAGAATTCCCTAGTCCCTAACCTGATGGACACAGGCCCTACTACTATGCCCTTCATTCGCATATCCCGACCAGCCGCATGAACTAAAACCTCCCGCATCTTTTCAGGGAGTGGACTCAACCTCCCGAATATCCGATCCGAAATAATAGTTACCTCGGCAGCAGTATCTACTATAGCGTTAACAGAGTAACCCCCAACTACTAGTGCCACACTCAACAGAGAGCTGGACCGCAATCTATAGATCGTTACCTCCTCCGGTAGGGGGTCATCACTTAGCTCCGCTCCCCCAGGGGAACAATCCCCCAAGGTAACACCCTCTAAATAACGAGAAAAAGCAGCAACCATAGGGGTAAGATCAGGATAAGGATCAATCATATCTGATTCGAGCGCGTCTAATTCTTGGCCACATATTTCTCGGGTTGGAGAGCGGCCCTCTCCTCCGACCCGGGAAAGTTTCCCTCGTCTAATTCCATGAATGCAACTTTTCGTTCCCCTTCGGGGGGAGCAACTCGCTGGGTTAATGGATTGGTTCTAGCCCGAGGGCAATCCCTCCGGAAATGGCCCATTTCACCACAGGCATAACAACCCCTGGGTGATTGGGTCGGCGAAGGCACCCGCGCTTCATGCAGAGCCTCAATAAATTTATCCAGATTCTTTTCCAGACCGGATATTCGGATATCCAAACTGGAAGTCAAACTAGATATCTGGTTATCTAAACTCTTCGCCAAACCGGACATCCGAGTATCAAAACTTTTCGCTAACCCGGATATTCGGTTATCCGTCCGCTCCTCCAACTCAGACATCCGGGTCTCGAGTCGTGAAGGGGGGCGGGTATCCGGAGTACCCTGCGTCGATCGCGGGGCAATATCCACTTTTCGCACCTCGGGCTCTCTGGCCTCGCTTGCTTCGGTCGCCAACACTTTAGCCTGCCGGGTGCGGCCGTACATGGCCTTATGTGCGTGCTGAAACCAGCGGATAGCCTCCACTGCTTCCCCAACATTAGAAAGGCGCTGATTAAGGGCATGACACCCAGCATCGCGGTCGACGCAGCCCTGGCACAAACGCAACACCAGCTGCCGCTGTACGTATGCATCGGGGACCCCGGGAAATGCCCGGGATGCAAGCTGGTGCAGCTTGTCTGCCCATTCAGGCAAGGATTCTGTGGGCCCCTGCTTAGCAGTGTTAAATTCTAGCAGGGTGGCTTCTGGAGGCTCACGGTATCCGAACCTGCCCTCCAGCTGGCGTACTACTGCGAAATAACCCATGTCAGGGTCCCGCTCCTGAATCCCATCAAAAAACTCACTCGCCTGGCCATCCAAACTCCAGCATAAATGATTAAGCCGCTGGGAGTGATCCCACTCGCGAGCCTCCGCAAACGCGCTGAATTTGCGGAAAAACGCGCGCCAATTCCCCCGCCCGTCAAACGCAATTGATTTGGGGAGTGCCTGATACGAGGTCCTACCCCGATTACCTCCCCAATCTCCCTCCCACCTAGACACAGATGGTCGGGAGAAGGCATCATTCTTATCCCGGGGCAAATGTGGAAGAGTCCGGGGTGAAAGAGTAGTATCCTCACCACCCTCATATCCCCCCGTATATACAGCAGAATGCCTGCGCGACCCCCCCGGTGGGGGTGGATAACTATCATGGGGATAAACATGGGGACTCTGGTCTCCGAAACCTCCCTCACGGGGCGTGCTACTACAGAAATCCCCTGTCCGGGAAATCGTTCTAAACGTCATTCCAGGGAACTCTCCCCCAGAACCCATACGCGGCCGAAAATCAAATCGATCCTGCAGATTCTCCAGATCCTCAAATAAAGGAGAGGACCCCATAATCTCAGGAGTAATTCCCCCGTGTTTCTCCCGGAGTTCTAAGATACACCCTGCTCGAACAGGGCTTAACCCGGGCATTGCCAGTAACTCCGCGAATGTACATCTATTGATCGGAACCCTCGCCATACTCCCACAATGCGAGGTTCACTCCCACAATAATACCAACTCTACAATAAAATAAATCCCAGGATACGGATTGATCTCTTCAACAATTATAAACACCTACTACTGCAGGAAAATAATTGAACAGAACAATATACTAGGATTTATATCCCAGAATATTAATTAAACTACCCAATAATCATTAAAACCCATACAACCACAGGTAAATAATTGGATAGAACACACTAGGATATTTGTGCAACAACAAAATATATCCCAGAATATTAATTAAACTACCCAACAATTATTAATACCCATACAACCACAGATAAATAATTGGGTAGAATATACTAGGATATATTAGCACAATTGCACCCAAAAACAAAAACCCCTAAATAAATTCACCGAACCGATATAAAATATCAACAAAGAGCCTACTTAACTCAAAAATGAGCTAACACTCCCCGCTTGAGAGGTTCGATAAATAAAAGGAGCTCACCAGCACACCAGAGACGGGATAGGTATAGTCCCACCCCGGCACTGACTATTAAACCCCTACCAGTACTAATCACTAAGTCTACAATTATTCGTAAATTCCGAAAATGTCCCTAAATATAAGGAATAACAAATACTGTAATTGTATTTGTATAACGCAATCGATGTCCCAATACTCCAGCACTACAACTGCCCCACCTCCGCACCGCCAAGACTCACGACTACCCTGGGATAAAACTCCCAGAGCCAAGTCCCCACCCACGGTCACAAAAGTGCTATCTATTTATTTGATATCTCCTGTTTCCCGGAAAACACCCCTACAACAGAGTTAAAAACCGAACAGTCAACCAAGATAAACAGACAATCAAAAGCAATCCCAGTTATAGATTAACCAGAACACCACCACGATTAATACAAATTCCAACCACAGCCAGTTCAGAAATACAAATATAGCAACCTAGCTGTCCATCTATTTAATTAGCAAAAGGAATTATAAATACAACTCCTTCCACCAACCAAACAAATAAACCAACAAATTTAAAGTACTTGCCCTAAACTAACCTAAGGATTGTTTAATAACTATTTCATAAAAGAACTAAAGTAATCAAGCCTGCAAAGGAGACTACAATCCCTTTCACAAGAGCAGAACTCCCGAGAGCATAACCCCCACGATATCCACTAAATATAATTAAATTAACCAAGCCTGCAAAGGAGAAACAACCCCCTTCACAAGAGCAGAACTCCTGGGAGCAGAACCCCCACGATATCCACTAAATATAATTAAACAGCTTATGTTCAACCAATAATCACTTTTTATTCCCTCTTTAATTCAATTCGTTGAAACTAATTGGTCACACAGCGCGCAGCCCCCTATCCACAATAGGTGGACTACACGTGAGTGCTCACGGGCACTCACCCACGTAACCAGTCAACCCAACTAAACACCAAAAAATAAATGAAGGAAAAAGCCCGACAAAATCGGTCTAAATGATTTGAAACAAAGCAAAAGGTTTCTTACCTTACGCCTGATGCACCAATCCGTCCGAAAGAACTTGGGAACCACTCGAAAGTAACTTTGAAACAGCTAATTTCGAAAACTTGCCGGAGCAAAAATCTTTCAAGTTGCCTCGATAACGAAACAAAGTGAAAGAGATGGAATCTGCTCACTCAAATTTCCTCCGCTGATTCCGAGAAAATCCTGCCTCTCGATCACGTACGTAACGTATACGCCACAGCACGTGAGCGAATGGGAAATTCCCTTTCCCCCCCTCCGGAGAAATTAGACGGACAGCGCATCCAACGCCCCCATTGGTCCATCCCTCCAAGCCACGCCAGCAGACGTGCGCGAATTTTGAAACCCGTTCTACGTAAGACTCACGCTCGGAGGGATATGAAATGAGAAAACGTAACCCAGGCTGGGGATATAATTCCCCCCCCGGTCATCCCTGGAATGTCACCCACATTCCACCATCCACCGTTCGACAGACCACATTAAATCACGCCATTCAATAACAATGCTTTCATAAACATTCAACATGGCTGCCCATCGCATCCTGTGTAATCAAGCCACCAGATAGATATACCATCCTGGAAATACCATCCCAGAACGGTCATTCACACCCATCACAGTGAACACTCTAAAAAGACATAAAACAGGACACCCACACCACCAGCATTAACACTAGCCACAAATAAAAACATAACATCCACTCACGGGAGATAAAGTACCATATTTCACCGCAGCCATCCGGCCAGTGGGCCTACCCAGCCCCCACCGAACCCGCCAGCCCATCACGGCACTCAACCCCCGTAACGGCACAGAAAATTTACCCACAGAAAAAAGAATGGTCAGCCGGAACTATCAGCGGGCAACGCCCACCACTTCCACCCGGAAACCCCGTTTCCACTAGGAACCCAGCGAGCATCACCCCGCACAGCCCCAAGCACAACCCGGCAAATTTAGGTCCGTGCCCCGCTTTGACAAAATAAAGTGACAAAACAACACAAGTTACCCCAAAACGGTGCATTTCGAGGTCCTAAAAGTCCGTGACGCCAATGAAGTAGACTTGGGAGCTACTTTATAGACACCATAACCAGACATGAAATACTCACTGGAAATGTATCAGGCAATCAGGCTTGACATCCTTAACTTCCAGTAAAGGTACGTCTGTTCGGTTGAGGTGTCGGTTGCATGAGAGAGAGAGTTCAGGTTGACTCTCATCCACGGAAGCTTCCAATAGGAATAGCGCCCTCTAGTGGTGAGGGTGGCTATTGCAGACTGCAGACGTCGTCTGCTAGCGTAGGCTGCTACTGGATACGGCTGTCGTCGTCTGCTAGCGTAGCTTGATATAAAAAACTACTACAATATATCCCTTCCATTTAATAATTTCATCACCTCTCTCTTTACAATACACAATACATATATATATGAAATTTTATATTGGTAAAACCATTTCCCATCCAGATTTTCATATATATAAATACATATATATAAAAAACGGAACGTATAACACAAAACGATCAACATGCAAGAAGGCACAGTAAAAAGGGATCCATGTCATCGACAAACCACATACACTGTATACTACTACAAAGCTAGAAAGAAAGCACTGGAGAAATATTGCTGTGCAAAGGTTACAAAAGTGGAAGAGAAAAACAAAACAGACTTTTTAAACTCTACCATACAACACATGAAGTTCCATGCTCAAACAATAAATGATGTTTTGTTAAAATGACATAAATAACAGTGCACATTTTTCTTGAGGAGAGTTTTGTTCAATATAATTATAGTTACTGTTCTTTATGAATCCATGCGCATACATATCATAGTGGTGTACTGAAGGTTATCCCACACATTTATCAGTCAAAATAAGCACTATGAAAAGTTTGTAAAATGTTCCTAAAATCCAGTAAAAATACACAAGAGAATACAGATTGAGAATTCTGAACCAAATATTTGTATTGCTACCATCCTTTAAGTTTAGTAAAACATGCTTTCATTTAAATACAAGTAGCCACCTATACCGAATTCCAAATCTACATGAATATTCTAATACAGTTCATTTTCTGAAATCGCAGGATAGTAAAATACATCAACAATTTAAAAAACGAGAGAATATCTCTACTGTTTTTGCATTCCATTTAAAAGTGCAGTCAAATCTGTCTCTAGCAGCCATCTCTAGGTAGAAATGTGTGTTGTAGAACCTGTCTAGAAGAACCACCTGTCTACAAAGGCCACCTGTCTACAGTGACCACCTCTATTGCCTCTCTCTAGGGAGATATGTGTGTTGTAGAACCTGTCTGGAAGGACGACCTGTCTACAGTGGCTAGTTTCATGTTTTCCTTGGATGGCCTTAATAGACAAGTTTAGCTGTATGCTAATATACTGCTCCAAGCACCTACATAACACAGATCATATCAATCTTCTAGTAATATAAAATTATACTTTCATGTAAATCGAGACTAGAGTATTAGTAGGTATCCTGAAATTTCTCATTGCACATATTTCATGAAAATCATTCTTTCAAAAAAGAACTCTCAACATTCTATATATACATGTAAATGATGTAATTAATAGTTTAATGGTAAAAAGGCCTGTAGAATATACATTTCATAAAGAGTCAATTGGTTTCATGTGCACATTAAGAATTATACTCATTAAATGCCATCACCTTGATAACTATCAATACGGATTCCCTCCTTGGGGTTAAGAGATGCATAGACAAAATTCCCAATACAGACAAATAAGGAATACCAGTTCACCTTAAATAAATTTCCATGTTTTTTGTAGCAAATTCTTCTTTTCTGCCTGATTTATAATCATGAAAGTCAAATGGAAAATTCATGAGAAACAATGGACCAGAAAATTGTTGAGAATTATGTAACCTTATCTGATTTACTATAAGTGAGAGAGAGAGAGGATTTTTCCCCCTTTGTTTGATGTCGTCCAGGTTTGTAAGAAACTATCTTGTTTTCTCCAATCAAAACCTCATATAAATATCAAAGGTGAATACAATTGTCAATCTTACAAATAAACATTATTGTCAAGGTAGCAAAATCAAAACACTGAAGTAAAGTATAGTTTTGGACTAAATGGTGTTGTGCAAGACAAATATACCTTGATTTATGGACACATGGGTCAATACATGAACATGTACCACAAATTATTAGTTTTATTGGTGATCCGTAGCCCCCCCCCCTTGTTTATTTTGCATAGGTTGACGTACCTGTCCCGGTCTAAGAAAGTGTACAAATAAAATTAAAATCCTAGAATTTCACAATTATTCAATGAACTAGAGAGATACCTAATGCCACTGTGTGAACAATATACATGTGACTATGAGTTGCTTAATTCAATTTATCTTTATAGCAGGTGAGACTAAAAATGAGAAAAAAACACAAACCAAACAAAGAGATTAGCAATTTATCAAAATACATGGCCCTACAGTTTGCTTTTTCTACCTAGAGTTTGAAAGGATTTGTTTTTACAAATAAATAAAGTTATCACAATAGTGACTATTTTTAAACAGTTTTGATTAAATCAGGCATATTCTATAAGATACAGGTGTATGCAGCATAATTCATCATTTATATAACTGTCAAGGAAAATGTCAAGAATTTAAGATTGTGATCATCAAATACGCACATGATTACCGGTAAGAATACATTTACAGAGGCAGGCCAAGCATATCATTGAAGTCACAAGTACTGTATATCTTCCTATGGTATAGACCTGGTTGAATGCTTTTCAAATTGCATGAAATATTAACTGATCAAATTGCCAATATTCATTTGCTACATGCATGAACTGAGATTCAAGAATAATGCATGGGCACAAGCCACTCAAATGAATACAAAACGAATAGATAACACCAACATATTTGATAGACATGGATGGAAGACTTTTGCGGTGTTCTCAAAAAAGGAAAAACAATATATGCACAAGATAATACACAAATTTCGCTTCCTTTCACGTACATGTATACATAGGATCTACGCAAAAATACCACTTATATTGAGCAGTTCCTCAATAGTTCCTCAGTAATAAACTCATAAAATATTATTCTATATATATATATATTTAAGAGAGTTGTTTGCAAGGTACAATGCCAATATTATTATCTTATTTTACCCCATAAAAATCCTGTTCTTTTCTATCATTTAACCCGAGTACAAGGCATTACAACACAATTTCATTTGAATGGCAAAGAAGATGTTTCACCCAGGTTAAATATCTAAGAAAAAGTTGCAGTTCATAAGACTAAGAGGAGTGTCATAAATAAAATAAATATGTAAAAAGGGAATAAATATACAAACGAATGGTATTTACATGTTCATGCAAATTTGGATATATTGATTACCATGTCGTATTAACCATGTACATAAACATACCACAGCCTACATTTAGTATGAGAAGGCAAAAAACTCAAATATTATGAGGCAAATCCTGTATAGCAAAGAATTTTGTATATCAAAACATATTTCAGAAAAATGCCTTGGGATATATCTACTTTTATAAATTTTACATGAAGTAAATTAAAAAGGACCGGCTTCAAAAAAGTGAACGTTTCTGATTGATTGATCAACTTAATCACGCTCATTTATGATTTCCCAGATCAAATCATTTGAATACGGAAAAACAAAAAACCTTTACACAATTCTGAATATACAGGACTACAGTCCTATTCATTTCTGAATGTACATGTTGACTTGGTTCAATCTCAAAGTTGTCTGATTAAGGAAAGTAGCTGGTTAAGCCACTCCAGCTATCTATTCCAAGGTGTAAAAATCCCCACATGTTTGGCTGTACGCAGGTGAAAACCACACACAATAATGAATATGTGGGATAACTACATGTATATCATTCCATCTGAATACATTGTGCCCTGAAATGCCCTGGAAAAGATATGATACAATATTTTCTGTAAATGTGCATCCTAGCTACTGGCAATGAAATAGCACTTGTGGTTTACTGAAAACACCTCCAGGAGATATAAAGATTCACTTTCCCTCATCCTAATTGAGGAGACCATCGTATCATATATACATGTATTCATAGTGATCTGGTTAATCGTTACATGATTGCTTTAAGCATCTACTATCAATTAATTCCCATTTTCATGCATAGTATAGGACAAGAAATTACGATAAATATCTGCATCTAGTTGGAATGCCATTTCAAAATGTATGTACTTCACAAGGATGCCAGTTAGAAAATTACCTAGAATGGGCTATTTTGTACACACAAAAAGCCTAAACTATGGCCTGAAAATAAATCGCCAGGGCCTTTTTTCAAGCTTTTGACTGAAAACTGGCATCCCTGACTTCACCAACATTGACATGAACACTCATTGCATTGATGGCGACTATCATGATCACCACCAGGATGATATGACATTGATTGCTCTCCTATATATTCTTGTCCTTGTCCAATGAAGCTCCAAGAATGAGAGATCTGTAACAACAATGACCACCGGTACCATGATGGTGACGATGACAACTACCACAATAACAATGACGGCTTCTATATCTTTGTCGACAGAAGTTTCAAGAGCTTCAACGACCACCACTACGCGATTGTGACGATGACAACTACCAAAATGACGATGATGGCTCCAATATCTTTGTCGACAGAAGTTTCAAGAGCATCAACGACCACCACTACAATGACAATGATGATACATAGACTATTGCTATGACAACAAGAGTGATGATGATGTTGCCATGGTGATTTTGCTCTTATGTCTTTTTGTCTTTGTCGAATGAAGCTCTGAGCGTGAGACATGCTTCGACCCACTGGTTGTGATTGCGCAGCATCTCTTCCCACAGTTGAATCTCGATCCCCGTAGAGTCTTGCCACTCAACACCTCGACCATACGACTTGCCTATAGGAGAGACAAATAAGAAATAAAACAATCATAAAGGTTCATCAATCGTGGGTATGTATGTTGTGTAATAAAGCAGTTTTAGAAGTTTAATTAAATCTAATCACCTAATTGGTAGCAATACTGACAAATGAGAACTTATGCTTTGTCACATTACAAGTAAAAAAGGCCTAGAGAATCTTGCTTTGACAGGGAAAATTGTGGGAAGGAGAAGTAGGGGAAGGAGGAGGATACTTTGAAAGTGAAAGGACTGGGAGTGGTGCTAAGAGATAAGAGTAGAAGCCGAGGGTTGTGGAACAGCATGATCGCCAAAGTCGATCGATATGGCACTTAGAGAGAGAGAGAGATAGAGAGAGAGATGCTTTATCAAGTCATCTTTATCGAATTTCGTTATGAAGATGTCGCAATCTTCCAGAATTGTCAAAGTGTTTTATTTTATGGCACTCCAAATGCAAGCATAAAAGGTATATACACCCCAACCCCCCTCCCCCCCCCCTCCTCCCCCCCCCCCTCCTCCCCCCCCCCCTCCTCCCCCCCCCCCCTCCTCCCCCCCCCCCCCCCCCCCCCCCCCCCCCCCGCAAAAAAAAATGAAGAACACAAATTATTCAGAAACATCAAATTAACAACATTTGCTACAAAAAACCAAGAGAGCACAAAGAAACAACGGAGAGAAACAACAGAGAGAAACATGATCTTACCAGTGCCTGAGCCGAGTCTTACTCCTCCTAGCAACGAAGAAGATCCAATCTCGCTATCCCAGATGCCGACCTCTAGCGCCCTCTCCTTGAGAATGTCCTCGGTGACGTTAGGAAACTCCAGACTCTGCTCATAGGATGGGTTGAGGGTGTTACGCATCGTAGAGGTCTTCTTCTTATGAGTTTTACTTCGGTCTGGTTCCAAGTACCTGCACAAACAAATCAAAAACATTTACTTGTTTGGTATGTATACCGTGTGAGTCAAAAAAAAGTTTACACATAGAAAATTGCTAATCATTTTTAAAATCATCTATGAACAGTAAATTATTATACATCTTATAAAAGAGTGTTTTATCCCAAATCATTTGGTACCATTTTTGTGTGGTATGTGTTCACGCTTGGATGAACAGGTGGAATAGTTTGCGAGAGTGCAAAAATCGACTCGCGCCAAAGTGATGCCTACAGTATAATTTATGTTGGGATTAGCGGAGTGAGAGAATGGATTGAACGTATCAAATGAAATGCATTGCATATGTTTTTTGCAACGGGCAAAGTCACACACACCCACACACACGCGCAAAAATGTTTGTTGACATTTGATATTTGATATTTGATATGTGTGGCATGATTAATTATGTTAGGGGTGTTATTTGGATCTGCAAAGACCGAATTAATACCCAAATCCCAATTGTTTTATTTAAAAATCACGTACCGGTAGGCAACTTTAGCGCAAGTCGATTTTTGCACTCTCGCAAACAATGTCTCCTGTTCATCCAAGCGTGAACACATACCACACAAAAATGGTACCAAATGATTTGGGATAAACACTCTTTCATAAGACATATAACAGTTTAATGTTAATCAATGATTTTTTAAAAATAATTAGCAATTTTCTAGGTGTAAACTTTTTTTTGACTCAGACTGTAGATCTATCACCGGTGTACCAATTACCCAAAGGTAGTTTGGTCTGCATGTTGCTAAACTACATGGGATGGGGGGAGGGGAGCTATGTTACTGTTTATCATTATTATCTATTGGCCCATAGAATGCAAGGTTTAACAATTTTAGGTGGATTTCATACATTCTAGCGTTACATAAATTAATTTTTTAAAGTTGTTTTTTAAATGTGGCATTTCTTTGCAGCAGTTTACCATGTCATATTTGAAAAAGCTTCAATGCTTGAATTACATACGTGAACATGTACCCTTTGTAAAAGTGATATCTTAAAAGAGTTTGCTTCTGGTATACCTACATGAAATACATGCGATTGACTTATATAAACTGTATATCCTTGGTATTACTTTAGATTGTAGCTGAGCCCTTTTCCTTCCTTCTACTTTAGGAAAGAAAGAAAAGGGCAGATTCAAAAGGACAAGGTTGCAGTTTCCATGTGCAATAAATCACTGTCATCAATGCCTTGTTACACAAAGCTTAGTAACTGATCCTATGGTTGATTCATGTGATTGACTGCATTGATCACTATGTGAAATCAATCCCCAAAATAGCAATTGTACAATCAACTGTTAAGCTTTGTGTTATGTGGCCCAGACTTTACCAGTAACAAGTGTATCAATCTGGTACATAGCAAAGCAGGTGTGCAACCAAGAAATACCCCCCCCCCCCATTCTCTAGAGACCTGTCTTCATCAGCTCGAGTTTGCCAAATAACCCACTATTTTAAAGCTTATCTGCCATAGTTTATAGGAGGGATTAGACTGCCCTGCAAGGTCACTGGACAGGTGGTTATCTCATCAACTCAGCTCTCAGTAAACATAAGAAAAAGAGGATCATGGGGGAGCAATGGTCACTGATTAGGCATTGTTTGTTATATAGAGGGCGCAAGTAGCTGCAAGTAGTGCAGTGGGCCTTTAACTATCCCGAATGCAAATTAGCCAATTAATTTGTGTCTTCGTCAGCCCGCAGTAGCAATTAGCAAGATATTTGGTCAAGAAAATATCCCAAGAAATATTGGTCTTGTTTCCAAAATATCCTGCTATTTGGGAAGTAGCGGGCTAATTTGCGTCCGTCCGAGCTAGTTTGTGATGAGCGTATCAGTCGGGTGAAGACCCAATTTCGAGCTTCGTGAAAATAGTGGGTTATTTGGCAAACTCGTGCTGATGAAGACAGGCCTTAGGAGAGCCTTTGGGCGATGGAAAATTAATGATGATGACTTTTTCATAAGGGGTGATTGCTGGAAAGAGCAGAGTATTACATTAGACACGTTGTTTGTACACTCCCGGTGATGTATGTTATCAGGTGATCAAATACACAAATGTGTCCAATGCTCCATGAGAACCCATGCTTATGTGAATAATTTACAGGGTTAGATTGACTTACACTTTGACGTAGGGGTTGACAACAGCCCCAACTCTGGGAGGTGAGAGGTTCTTAGCTTCCTTGATATGAATCTTGAGACTCCCTCCGATCACCTTAGACGGTGGACCCTTCTTCTTGCGCCGTAATGACGTCGACTTGGACCCGCTGGTTCCGTTCTTGTTCTCGTCGAGCAGGGTTTCAAACATGAGGGCTAGGACTATGTCTCCCTTGTAGGAGATGGGCTTGGTCTCGTTAGGTGGAACCTGTGAGGGAAATGGAAGGAATACATTGAAATTGATAATGGAAACAAGGTAACTGATTGTCTAAAGGATTTTTCTTGTACTTTACATTAAATGCTAACCTTCCATAATTCACTTATAGAGGAGGGGATTTTTAGTATACTGCTCCGTTGATTTAGCTAGCATCACTAAGATTTCTACAAGCTCAAAAGCAAGGAAGGGAAGTAGGTCCACAACTTAAGCGGATCTAGTAACAAATATAATCATGATGCTCACATATAGTTTTACTTAATAGGGAGAGAAAAAAGTAACCACATGTATACTATTCTTGATACTATTAAGGCACAACCCAATTCAAGAGTACACTCATATGTAACACATGTAACACCAGGGGGGTGTTTCACACAGACTAAGATCAATTTTAAGTTAGACTTAACTATGGCAGGCCGCTCATGACACTGGTTGCTCTCATCATTGGTCTCTCAATTATGATCTTTAGATAATATTCTATCCTTCAATAAAGAATTATCAAAAAATGTATATTCTGTAGATTTGTGACCATGATTTGTACATCCCTTGAGAGACCAATGACGGTAAATGGTGAGAGCAAACAATGGCATGAATAGCCTGTCACGGTTAAGTCCAATTTAAAGTCGATCTTAGTCTTTGTGAAACACCCCCCAGAACAACCAAATATTCCACTTGTTCTCACCCTTGTCTTGAGTTGATGCCACTTGACCGGATAGCTGGTCAGATCCAGACCGTCTAGGGGGAGCAAAACCTCTCCCAGGAACATGTTGTGTCCAAAGCGATCATAGTGCCAGATAGCCACACTAAGGGTCCTCGTCTCCAGCTCACTCTGGGCGATGGGATACTTCAGATTCTCACTGTAGTTGGGATTGATCGTGCCTTTCTTGGTCCTGGTCTTACGTTTGCTGTTCTTGGACTTGTCTGGCAAGAGATAGGTCTTGATGTACCTATAGAAAACATAAGATTACCATATCAGCTAATGATTGGTGCTCAGCAGAAGCAGATACAGTGCTGGTTAATTCAAGCATTACAGACATGACATTCAGACTTATATCGTTTATTTAAGATAGTTTTATTATTATTAACCTGGCTGTAGCCTAGGCTACCACAGAGCTACCAAGTGTCACGCATTTTGAGGGTCTGAAAACACTCTCAGGCACGACGCGCATGCGCGATTTCGAAAAAATGCTCTACGTACGTTATCCCCTCGCCCGCGCGCCGAGTCATGAAAATGTCACGCATAGCTGATCTTTGAACTTGGCATATCTTCATTTCTACCAGGTACCCATTTACCTCACCTGGTTGGAAAGTGGCAAATGTAGATTAATATCTTGCCACAGGACGTAATGCTTTGACAGAGATTTGAACCCTGAACCTTATGCTTCAAAGTCCATCTGCCTATGCACTACAACTACACAAACTGCCTGAGAATACCAATAAACTTACGGATCTGACTTGTTTATTGATAGGGATTTGAACCCTGGACCTTATGCTTCAAAGTCCATGGACCTATCCACTTCAACTACAAAAGCTACCAAAAAATACTAATAAACTTACGGATCTGACTTGTTCTTCTTAGCGTCGATGGGGACCAGGTCCCGACAGCCACCAATCTTGACCTCGAAGACATTGGTCTTGAAGTTGTACCCCAGGCCAAAGCTGACGTCCCCTGTGATGGGGTACTTGCCGTAGAACTCTTCCCCTGTGCTGTAGAGGCTGGTCAGGCTAGACGAACTACCCTGCTCATACGATAGAAGGAAGAATAGAGAAATACATCAAGAAAACTTGTCTTAATCAAAATAATAAAGAGGCTGCGTTGTGACAACTAATTCTGAAGGTATATGTTTTATGAAGTGAATTTCATTACTGTGACTCTGCATGTATGATTTTTTTTTTTTTTTATAAATATCACTCGATATCAAATATCAATTTTTTTGGTCAGTGTTATTAAGAGCAGGATTCTTAAATGATGTTTTGCCTCACTGATTTTTTATATATTTTTTTTATTTCTTGGAACCTCTAGTTTGTAGTCCCTGTCACTAGCCCTTCTCTTCTCTCTCTCCTCCCCTTCCTTTTTTTTTAATTTCACATTTTTCAATAAAATACCATCACATTTCTGTAAAACTAAAGATATTATCACTTTCCAACAAGAAACAATTGCATATCTGAATTTCTGTTTCATGAGGCAAAGAAAATTTTACAAAATTATCCCTACACGTTCGTAATGCAATGTTGTACAATGGTTTATGTGTTTGTAAAGTGATTTCAAGTCTAGATATGCTTGTCACTATGTTAATAAAGTTGCTACCTCTTACAGCTCTACAAAATTATATCTTCAAACAGTACCAGCTCTGCAAATCACTTACTGACATCAAGAGCCATATTCCGACAACCCCATACAAAGATCTAGTTGTCAAATCTACATTGCTTACTACACATAGAATAGCCGCGTAAAGTGGGCCTGGTATAGCCCTGGTTAATACCATCATACAGGCGTGCAACATAGAACATACATGTGAATGTATTAATTTTTCTGATTGTTGAATTGATTCAATGTAACCCACGGCTACTACAATTCATTTTATATTAAACTATATCATACTGTATGTATGAATGTGCATGTATGTTTGTCTAGTTACCTAACAACCTTAGAACATAAAACAGAACATAAAACACCCCCACTTACATGCAGTTAATCTGCTTTAGAAAGCCAAAAGGGCAGAACTACAATATCATGCCCTTCTACCTCTCTGCAGTCAAAATATTATATTTCACAACAACGACATAAAACACAAATACGACTTCAAACTAAGTGTCCACTCAAGAACTCTTAAACTGAGACACAAGTTCCTCACAAACACAACAAGTAGATGCTGACCGGACTAACAACATAATGTACACATAGACATATATGCTAATATTATAGTATTACTAATTAGCCTACAGATAATTAAAAAAAAGTCTACTATGCATTTCAATTGCCATATTGCCATGCACCCTGTGGAGTTTTGAATTTACAAAACCTACCTGTTGTACCCACTGATAGTTCTTAAAGAAACCAAAATAAGAAGAAAAAAATGGAGTAAAATCTGATGAAAAAATATTAACATTTAAATTTTTTAACGATCACTTCATGAAGTGGCAACAAAAGCCGGGGTAATAACATGATTGCAGGGCCCTCAGGGAGAGCAGTATAAATCTTGATGAGGTTACCCTCGGAAAAAAGACATATATTATTATTATTATAACTGTATAACTATTCACTAGATTGCTTTCAAGATTTAAAGTTGATATGTTTCGATTGAAAAGTAATCTCAGCTTCTAATTCTCACTGTAGAAAGTGTTGTCCCTGTTTGTTATTTTGAGGTTGGGTCTAAATTATGTTATATAAAATAATATTGTTAAGTATTGTAACTGACAGGGCCTATATTTGAAAGCTGGCTCACTAAGTCCTAGAAAACAAAAACAACATAGATTACAACAACAACAAAAAACACACACAATCAGATCCATGAACTTTAGTAGGGGTGCTGTGAAAATCACTAGCATAATCAATGTGCTGATTAGAATAACTCTGAAACGTGCCAATTCATTTCTTTAGTATAAAAAATTGTTTTATAATACACATCAGGCTATAAACTTTAACTTATCCTAGTGTTACTGATTTGTGCAAAAACAAAAAACAAAAAGGTTAGTAAGAGATTACCTAACCAGAAATGTATAGATACTAAACAAGTGCCACAACAATCTATAAAAAGATGATTTTATACCTTTTGGGATCTTCTCTTTTCTCTTGTCTGATAAGAGGGAGGGTAAAAATATGAAGTTGATGTCACATTTTTTCAAATTCCTTGGGGTAGTTGGCAAAAGTTATGAAAATTGGTGCAAATCTACAAGCATTTGTGATGTGGCCAGCTTTTCAAGGTATGCTTTGCAATAGCCCTGATATAACAATCCTGTGTGGTGTACTCTCTAATTTACATACCTGTCTGCCCCCCCCCCCCCCCCCCCCCCCGTTTAAAAAAAAAGAGTAAGCAAAATGGTGGTCATCACTAGACAATACATACGCAAATGGACATTTGAAATTATAATTATATTGATTTATGAACAGCAAGGTGATGTTTGAAGTTCCTGGTTAAACTTTAACTGAATAGGCCATTTTCGTAATGTAACCAAATTTAGTACATAAGTCTACGTGAGGTGCCTTAATACGAATTATTCCATTCACCTGATAAGAATAATAGTATTTCAATAGTCAGAATGCAAACTGCATATATTAATTGTTGCTAGGTAGATCAAGCTATAATGTTTGTCCTACCTGGCAACAACTAACATATCCAGTTCGGATTCTGTCTACTGAAATACTATTATTTGTATCAGGTGAATGAAATAGTTTGTATCGAGGCACTTTACCACCAAGACGTATGCATTAAATTTGGTTACATTACGAAAATAGCCTATTGACAAGGTACCCCTTTCCAACCCATTCAAGAGGTTAATACTGGATAGGAGTAGAATCTTTTTATGATTTCCTAACAGGCACACAAGAAAAAAGGCTCTGCTCCTATCAAGTATCAACCTCTGCAAATCAATAGACTGCTTTACTAACATATTCAAATTTCAAGAATACTTTAAAAAACAAAGGTTGTTCTTGACAACCTGACAGCTTGCCTATAACTTTCCCGACATAGCAACAAGTAATGTATGCAGGGTAGATTTCAAGTATTGAAGTTCATTCATTTATATCAAGTTAATGGAATATCTTGTCACTATACATGTAGGTCCACAGGAAAGGAACATCCATACATTTGAGTATGTAAGTAAACCGGTCATTTGCTAATGTTACATGTAGGGTTATCTTCATGGAACAGCAATAGATGGAGATGCAAATTATTAATATGATATTTTTCAAAACATAAAGTTAAAGGGAACTATGTGTGATGAAGCATTTTCACATGGCACAATTACAAGTGATGATGATGACCTGAAATGGAAGTGTTCAATTAATAATTTATACATGAGATGATGGCAGGGTTTTGTAAATCCATGGTCACATGAGGCATTATTTTAGATTGTAATGATGTCTTCTACACTTTACAGTGGCACTGCTGTACTAGTTAGTGCTAACCCTACCTTATGCAGCATATTCTTCTTTGATAATCTCTTTTCGACTGGGGAGGTCACGCTGCTTGTTGATGATCGAGATGTGAACTTTGACAATGATTCCGTTTTCCCTAAAGATTTGAATTCCTCGTTGAGCGATGACACCGTCGTCCTTTGGTCTCCCTCCGGAACTCTTGGCGCTCGTGGGGGAATTTCAATGTCAACCTCGATTGTAACAGCTGCAGGTTTGTCTAAGTTTGGATCTACTTGTACATCAGGGACTGTTCGAAGCTCTTCTTTGGAAGGAGCTCTGCCCGCATGCCCATTAGACTTGGAGGTTCCTTTGGCAGGATCTTGATCAGCAGTCACTGCGTCTGAGCTCGTAACGAGCTGACCATTGCGATAGGTTACCCACTGTCCTGTGTTGGGGTCCTGAAGCAGATAGGAGGCGATGAGGAGCACAGAAGAAGAGCATTGGTGAAGACCACAGGTGGTGTTCCAGTGTGATAAAGAGATAGGATGGGATCAAATCTTGAGAACCAGTGGAGGGTGGTGGAAGCTATAGAGTCTGGTTAGTGATTCTCTACAGTGTGTCGGAGAACAAAGACTGGCCAAAGACACAGGTTTATGATGGATGGATACAATCTCTAGTGCTTCCTGAAGACCCCATTGTTAGGTGCAGATGGTGCTACAATGGTGTTAGTGCAGAGTACATTCATATGGTGCAGCGATGTGAAGTTAAATTATCAACTGAGGTACATGTACACATACACAATATGGTTGTACATGAATTTAATGGAGTGGGGATAGGGGTGGGGTGAGGGTGAGGTTGGGTGAGGGCGAGGGTAGGGGTGGGTGTGGGTTAGGTTATGCAGTTATATGAATTCATCTTTATGTATTAGTGTTTAACCCTTAATATAAAAATAAAAACCTGGCATCTATTCACAACACTTAAATAATGTGTCCAATTTCTACAGTAGAGCCTGAATGTACACATCTAGAGGGACTTTTAAGTGTTTTCAAGAGGAAGATAAGCAGGTCCAAAACAACCATTTCCTAAAATTCACCTCTTTTTTTTCTTCAAATTTCTGAGTCATAGGTAAATTAAATACCTATTTTTGTTTAAAAACATTCCATCATCTGTATAAGCTATTCAATAGCATTGATTTGATAACATTGAAAGCAGTTTTCATTATTCATTTCTTTGGGGAAACTATACTTTATAATATCAGCCCAAAATGTAACCTTTGGAAGATAGAAGTAGTTCATAATTTTAGTAATTATACACATTGTAAATGATCAAAAGACATCAGGAAATGCTTTGGATGATTTACCAAAACAAATACCTTCTGTGTGTTTTATTAATGAACGTAGAGACCTAAACAGTTACTTAAAAATAAACCATATCTGTACATTGCATATTAGATGTACATTGATTTTTCTTGTGAACTGTAAATTCAATCGTTAACCTCCATTTGATATGAATAGATGTTATCAGACCACAAAAGGCAGTATCATTGAAAATCATTATCGTAATATCAATGTAATAATGTATAGATTGAAGAATAATAATGAGATCTAGAATTAAAATCTACCCACCCAAATTATGGTACATAAATACAGAAATTAACAGACATTAATTGGATATTAAAGTAGAACTACACTTTGAGACCTACCAATTACCAACAAGTATGCCCTTGGTATTCAGCAAGCATCTTCGAGTGTCACTTCATTTTTCTATCAGTATTGTCAGACTTGTGTAGTGTTTCACAAAGACTACTACTTAGACTTAATTTGGACTTTAACTATGGCAGGCCATTCATGCCAGGGGTTGCTCTGGCTCACCATTGGTCTCTCAAGGGGCGACACAAATCTACAGAATTTACATTTTTTGATAGTTCACTGTTGAAGAAAAGAAGGGGAAATTCACGATGTGTATGTCCTTTGATAAACCAATGCCAGGAATGGTTAGAGGAACTAGGTAGTGGAATGAACCGCCTGCCACAGCTCAAGTCCAAACTCTAGTTAATCTTACTCTTTGTGAAACACTCCCCAGGTCTTTATGTCAGCTCGACAATTTTAAGTATACTGGAACTAAAATAATTGTTAGTCTTCTACATGATAGTTAAATTCGCTACTCCTACTGACTTACTTGAATTTACTTTGGTATTAATTAGGTAACTTTTGATATGAATACTAACGTGCTGGTTTCATGGCTATTTCTACCTACTGATGGTTGAGACGATGTTCTTCAAAAAGAGAAATATGACATACCAACGTTCCCGTGACATAGAACCCACGAGAAGTCCACTGATCGTTCACTACATTCACCTTAACACAAGAATTAACAAAAGATTTGCCACATGCACAGTTCATGAGAAATTGAAAGACAATTTCAAAAGTGAGAAGTAAATAACAAAACAACAACAATAACAACAGCATGAAATATCCACAGTAGAACATCTACAGTATTACATGTAACCTGCACAAGTATGTTTAGATTACTGTACAAGAAATTAGTTTCTGTTTACAAATGGGTGCCCTGTATGATCACTTTAGATTTTTTTAAGATGTGTAATAAACAATATCCAATGTAATGCATAATTTTGTTTTGGAGCCTGAAGGGCTATGTAGTATGTAGTCTAAAACAGATTAGAAGAATTGTAAGTTCCAAGATTTTGCTGTCTTCTCAAAAGAGAGCCGGTAGACAAACTATATCTTCTCCTGACGATGAATAGTCAACCTGTTCGAAACGTCGAGCCACTCCTACTACCCATCCTCTCCCAGCAGTGCTATAGTTCTCCTTAAAACTATAAGTGAAAAAAGACTACCAACAGTCCTTTTCAGGACTACATACACTCAAGAAAGAAAGATTACTGACAGTCCTTTCCAGGTTTCCCTAATCCTCCCCTTCTCTCACATGGTGCAACCGCAAGCCTACTGTATATAAAACTAAATCTATACGGTAATATCAAGGAAATGTATTTTTTGGAGAAACTGCTTGATTTTTATTATCAATCAACCCCACAAGGGGTAATAAAATAGACTATTGAGAGTCAGGCATGGATATAGTACCAAGGCAATAATCATATCAAGGATCAGGGAAGAATTTGAGCTGTGGTAATGCTGCGTACAGTAATAATACTAGTAATAATGAAATTGGGGTCTTGTATAGCTCTCATATCTGGGATACTTTACACTCCTGGCGCTCCACCGTCCTTATATTTTATTATTATGCACGGCTACTATTACAGTGCTCTAGCATTTCAAGGGAATATTTTCTAGGGGATTCCCGTTTACTTCACCTGTGTGGAGAGTGGCAAATGTAGATTAATGTATTCCCAAAGGACATTGGCCATGACAGGGATTTGAACCCTGTACTGCATAGTCCAGGGACTTACCCACTAGACCATAACACCTCCATTATTTACTTAGCAGGAGTAAGAATATTCAGACACCAGAACAACAATTCTATATCTCATTTACTAACCTTCTGCAATCCTCCTTTCCTAGATGATCCAAACAGACCTACATGTCGGAGAGTAATTATCCCTCGTTCCTCCCTATTGGAAACGAAATCCTCCTCCTCCCTGACAAGACATGGTTCCTCTGAGCACTCTACTGCCCCTCCTCCTGAGGAAGACTCAAACTCTGCCATCTCTCTTACAACAGGGAGGTGTCGTGCTGAGTGGAGCTGTATTTCATGCCCCAGAAGGATTTTCCCTTTCCTCATCATCATTGGTTCCAGTTGGTCTTGTTTGGCGAATTCTCCTTGAGGTCCATCCTGAAATTCCTCGGCTTGGTAGGCAATTCTCACAGGGGTCTGTTCTGGAAGGGATGTCGCCTCTTCACAGAACCTTCTTTTAGATTCTTGAATACTGTCCAATGTGGTCTCAGCCACCTTTCTTACTTCGTGTAGAGAATCTGGAGGAAGCACTATCTCATCAACTTTGAGTGCTAGAAGGGACTCCAATAAAATTCCTTGGTTTGATAGAGGTGCTTTTGTTATGGGTGCTATCCCGGATTGTGTACTACTTTCTTCACCAAGAGAGAGCAGCTTGGCATTACCAGATTGGTGGAGATCTTTCTCATCCATCTGGTTTAGAGAAGCTGCAGATTTTATCTGTTCTTCATGGATCCCTTTTGACATTTTCTCATCTTGATTGCCAGGCTTGTACAGTTGAGGTCTCACACTGTCCTCTCCTACTTTTTTTCTTTCCAGGACCTTCTTGACGTGATGAGCAACCGTTTTCTTCTTTTGTGAGACCCTTTTATAATGCAATCCATCAGATCTTTCTTCTTGTTTCTGATCCTTTTCCTGCCGAATCGACATGTCCTCTTTGCTGTCTTTGACCTCTCTGTGAACCAAACTTGAACTGCTTGTACCAAGAGGAGGGTCGAGATATGTATCACTGCTCTCCATTTGTCTAACTTCATCTTCTCCTTTGCTTTCATCTTGGCTGTTGTCTCCCTTTGGAGGAAGAGTTGAAGCATCACCTATGTTAACTGCATGTATGCTCCTCTGTTCTTCACCTAGATCTTGAAAGGTTTCAGGCTTTTCTCCATTCATCTGCAGAGGTTCCTCAGGAGGCACAGGTTGAAGTGCACAACATTTATCAGCTACAACCGTTGTAGATTCTAATCTCTCAGACTGCTCTAGATCTGGTAGAGACATCTCCTCTTCACACAAAGACTCTGAGATGCTGGTCATCGTGTCTTCAGCCATTTGTCTTACTTCGACCAAAGGATCTTCTGGAAGCATCATTTCATTAGGCTTTAGTGCCAGCAGGGGCACCATTTCCGAGCTTAATTCCAATGCTTCCTCTACAGGCTTTTCTTGAGATTTGATTGCACCCAGTATTGTGCTTTCACCATCAGGAAACCCTATGGATTCTGATTCTTCATCGACATCGTCCTGCTCTGCACACGACTTCTGTTCAGGATCAACATCTATGGCATGAACTTCATCATGCTGGTGTAGTAACTTTGGAAGTATCAGAGATTCTACTGGTCCTTCCATTACCATAACCTGGGGTTCTGAAGGATTAACCATGACAGCCTCCCCACTGCTGACTTCTTCTACAGTCTGCTTCAGTTCAACCTTCCTGGTTGGTGGTTCTTCCTCTTGGACATTTTCTGTCCTCTCAGTATCGTCTTCTTCTCCTGGACCCTTGGTACCAAGCTCTGATTCCACTTTGGGTGGACCAGTCCCGCGGATATCAAACTGCGTCACTCCGAGATCTCCATTCTTGCCAGACTCCTGCACAGAGGCAAACCAGCAAACACTGTCTTGAGAACATTCTTTAGGAATGTTTTCCATGCAGCATTCTTGATGAATCCAATGATGTAAAGAGAAGCAGATATGGGAGGAAGAGTTCCTTGGACAATCATGCAATCCATGAGATCAACAAGCAAATCCCCTCCCACAAAAATTACATACACATAAATATGGATGATCGCCACAATGCCATGCCTACACATGCAGATCATAAGATATTCTTCAGTGTCATATATTGGAAAGAAGAGAGATGGTCCAAAGAGTGCCAACCAAAGCCGATAGACTACTTGATCTGATCAACACATTCATCAACAATTCAGGGATCAACTTAGGCAAAAATATAAATTATGTAGCACAAATTATGTACTAATACCTTTAGTCATAAAACTCTGTAAATAGACAATTTTTCATTAGATACATACAAAGGAATGCAAAGTTGAAGCTTACCCGTTTGTGTTGAAATGAGAAAACAAGATAAAGTATGATAATTTTTGTTCTTCTTGTTTGCCTCATCTTCCAAAGTAGTGCTGTTTATGTGATATTCAATAGAAATACTCAGTATCACACTTACAAGATAACACTATGCATATGAAGTGGATACAAATGATTGACATTTTTTATAGTTCAGATTGAAAACAAACTGAAAAGCCAAGCATTATTCAGAGCACTTTACTACAGTTTCAAAGCAATACCTTGAATAATTCTTGACTTAATTTCAACTCTCTGATGGGCCCGGCCCCTGTGAGGTCCGTCATGATCTTGATGGTGGCTGTGGATGGTTCAGGCTGTCCAGGTGAAGCCGAAGCTCCCGCTTCCAGACTGCTGTCAAAGGCCACTGGCACATCAGGGTCGGCAGTAGCAGGGGATCTCTCTGGCTTCAAAGGTGCCATTGCTCCTTCTGCAGAGTCCTGTACTTCTGGCTGCATGGCTGATACTGTGACTCGAGGAGAGTCCTCTCCTTTGCCTGTGCGAATCTCTTCTTGCATTTGTCGCTTAGCTCCAATGAGAACCTGCTGAACAACTCCAGAAGCAGTTGCCAACAGTAGCCCTTCCTCTGTTTCACGGAGCGCCAGATTGTCCAACTCACTTCTTTCAATTTTGGGCCCATTGAAGGAAGACTTCATGCCATCCAAAGTATCATCTTCGTGACAGATGACCTGCTGTTTCTGATCAACAGCCGTTTCCTTCAAGGAATCACTGGGCTCATTCTCAATTACTGCATTTGTCGTGATGACACAAGCCTCCACCATTTCATCTTGAGATTCTCCAAGACTTGACTGGTCAACTTCACAGAAGGAGACATAGCTCTTCCTAATTTCCAACTCTTCTTCCTCTACACTAGTTCCCTCCTCATTAACAGGAAGTTGGGAAAACTCAGGGTTCTGGGTAGAAAACTCCAAAGTTTGGTGGATTTCTTCATCATCCTAGGATATGGAGAGAGAGACGAAAATACACAAAAACTGGTTGCTTCAGTCTATTCTATCCAAAACAGGAATTTTTTTCTTTGAATCTTCTTTAATAGATGTAGCTTAAAGCAGTTTTTGGCATGACAGTGAAAGTTGAAGATATATATAGTTGACGATAACGAAAATGCCTTGCAACATTTGTGAAGCCGAACAATGAATGCATTATGTTGTTTTGAATTTTGTGGATGAGCAACCAGTTAGTGCGTACAAACCTCTCTCTAGGAACATACCAGCAGGGATACATACAAAGAGACAAACAAAAAAACGGCAAAAGCAGCAAGAAGAGAAGAGGAGATGAAATTTTAAAATTATCGCCATACCTTTACCAGTCCAAAGTACAGACAGTGGCCTGAAAGAAATGCGACTGCTCACTCTTGGAGATCACTGGAGCGAAGATAGATTCAAAATAAGTAGCCAAAGTTTCTATTCAGTGAAGGATTAATTCTTTCACCTTTCTTGACCCGAAGTGCTCAACCCAATAATGGGGGTATTTATATGCAATTTATTGTTGTGTCCAGTATTAAGGGCTTGAATGAGATGGAATGCTCAATTCAAGGGCTTGTGTGTGCTCTTTGAAAAGATTGATTGTTGTGTCCATCTCCCTATAGCAATTCATCCAAATAAAAATAAAAAGAGGTACTTTGAAAGTATAAGGACAGTTACTATATAAAAATTAAATATTATTATTATTATTACTTTTCAGGAAAATTTTGATGAGTGGTAGTACAGGCACTGGAGGCTCTGTTTAAAAATAAAAAACTGAAACAATTCTTCTCTAATCAGATATAAACCTAAAACGAGCCTCCATTTTCTTCAGTATACAAGTGTAATTACTGCAAACGTTAGGAGCGGATTGTATAAGTCTGAAATAAATTCAAGTTTGTGTCGTGCCCGGTTTTCCAGCAATCAATTATACATTGTTTTGTTTAAGCTGAATTATACGAGCGACAATAAGAATTTTCAAGCAAATGGCATCCCGTGTTTGGAACCTTAAAAGCTTTCAGAGAAATCACATCTGGACCATCAAGGAAAAAGTTTGAGAACCCCTGCCCTAGGCTAGGTGGTACATGTGGTTGTCAAGGGGTTGGTTATCAAAGGGGTAGTTGTCTTGGAGGGGTGGGGGTTGCATAGTCACGCTACCTAAGGTAACTACTTCTGACCGAGAATACTAATTACTTTTTTACATGTCAGTCTGTAGAACTGAATTCATTGATTTTATTTAACAATGATAAGTATCACTTGATGAAGTGTTGCAGCGGCGCACGAAACGTCGTAATCTTTTAGATCCCATGTTGACCATACATTGCGAGACAAACGAATATAACTAGCAATATTATTTTCGATACAACATCCGCAATGAGTAATATATTTAGCATTATGATAAGTATTATTTGTTGTCTTGGTTTCTTCCTACCAAAAATACTTATTTTGATTCAGCATCATATTACCTTACATTAAGCACAACGAGTAGCTTTGAAATCACACCCCTCAGCTCTCTCACTATTCGGGTTGAATTGTAATTCAACAAAAAGGACTCTTTTAGCAGCAGCATCTATATGAATGTGAGCTGTCCTCTAAACTAAACACAAACCCAGCAAATTACTAAAGATTATTTTAGTGTGCACTTGACTAGTATGTGTGAGTATGTATGCAACCATGTATGAGAGAAGTATTTCTTATGAATGTCAAAACATTTGGAAATAAACACAGTATTTCGCATACCAATATTGAAGAGAAGTGGAGTATCATCTCAAAATTTCAGTTCCTTAATTATAATACTTAAATGATACCTACATATTGTTCTAGACTCTAGTAGCATAAAAGGAAGTTTAAATGAAATTTCTTCAGTATACTTTAACAATGTTCCATTTGCATCACACTGTAAGGCTTGACACAGTTGCCAAACTATAAATGGGCTTAAAACATAGTCATCAAAGCTTTCCTTCGAAACAGCAACATGTTCCTGATTTGAACTAATCACTTTTAACGATTTATTTTAGAACCAAAAAATGATTTTATTTTATTTATTTATTTAAAAAAAAAAAATTATATATTTTTTTTACATCGTTTATTTTCTCACAAATCAACTTTTAATGACCCTCAGGATCAAAATTGGCATAGAATTAATTATAGTACACAACTTGGAACACAAGTGAAAGTTTGTAAAAATGAAATGATTTATTACAAGTATATAATGTAGATCCATTACTATAAGCATACCGGTACATTTAACAACAAAATTATGCATACCCTTACCAAGGTTGTATGTTAGGTTGTTAATTATAAATATGTGTAAAAATCATTGTGTTGTTAATAGTTATCCTGAGTTCTGATGATGATGGATTTCAGAAAAAAACAAATTTACACTAAATGATCATGTGGTCTCCAACACCGGTAGACCATTTTTGTAATGTAACCAAATCTAATGCACACGTCTTTGTTAAGTGCCTGGATATAATTATTTCATTCATCTGTTTCAAATAATTTTATTTCAATTGTCAGAATGCGAACTGCGTATTTCAGTTAATGCCAGGTAGGATAAACATTATGGCTTATCCTACCTAACAACATGTAATATATGCATTGTGCAGTCTGACTATCAAAATACATTACAGGTGAATAGAATATTTGTATTGAGGCACTTCACAAAGACGTATGCATTACATTTTGTTACATTACACAAATGGTCTATCATTTTCAGTGAATATTACATCCAACAATATCTCCACATTTTGTTTTATTTTTTTGCTGGTCTAATGATCCTTCTCACTTCATAACAGGCGATTCTGAATTACTTTGACATTGTTTCTTTTAAGATAGCATTCTAACAGCAGAACTCAAGATTTGCTTTGCTGAAAACATATTATTGAGTGCAATGTTGAGTTAGCGATAACAATGTTTTCCCATCAATTAGTTGAACATATGATGTCATACAAATATAACTTCCCGTGCATACATAGAACTGTGAGTGCATGATTAATATATATTGTAAAGTTCATATATCTTTAGCAGTGGGTAAAAAGAGATGAGGAGGCAGTAATGCTCTTGAATAGTCATGAATAAATACTTTATAAATTTCCCTGAAAGCCATTACATGCCCTCTAAGAGTTGAATTTAGCATGTCAGCGAATCCCAAGTTAGATTAGAAAGTACTAAGTATTATAAGAGAGGAAAGACAGACAAATTTTGTTAACCCAATCTACCTCAGAAGGCAAATGCAAATGTAAAATGTCAATGGAGTGCATATGAAAAGGATATAGTTGTGTATAGGCTTGGAAATGTGTTATGCACAATATTCAATAACACAATAAAATTATATGAAATCAATAAACATATTACTTTTACTACTACAATGTAAATTTTGTTTTGAAACCAAAATAGTAGAAGATTTAGAAATGCAGTTTGATTTTTCCGTCTACCAATTGAAATGCTGATTTTCATTTCTTCACAAATATGTTCTTTTTAACATATCTTCTTGATCATCATATCATATTATCAGTTGTTTGCCAGAAATATCTTATACATTTTTTTTTTTTCATTTGCGGAGCAATTTTAGAACTTGAATTCATAAGATCACACACACAAATAATAATGCAATCATTCAGCATCATCATTATCATCATCGCAATCATCATTTTGCAAAGCATGACAGAAATAATATTCTTCTACTTGGGCACCATTACCTTAAACAATGGTTAATGTGTTTAGTCAAGGTTTCAGATCCCCATTACTTTCGCATTTCTTTTCTAAATAATAACCCCCTTTTCCTTTTCCTTGACATAAAAAGGGTATATACTTTGTAGAACAGGACTATTACTGCTACTTTCTTTGAAAAAATAAAAGGTTTTTGTTCAGTTTGTATAGGGTTTTAAATACGGTAAGTCAAATTCTGCAACATTTTTTCCCCTGCATATCTTATATCCTCTTGTTTATTTCTTCCGTCTTAAATCAGGACATAGGTGGATAATAAAGAGAACCCTTTTAAAGCTATCCTTTCAGTTTGTTTCAAGATCGAATCTAGGATAATCTACCAGTCCCTTTAGGTGGCATCATCATCATCATCATCATCATCAACATCATCAACAATCTAGCCAATTCCTGAAAAGATACTTCCAAATTTATATCGCTAATCTTTTAGTCTATCATAATTACAAACTGACATCCCATACACACAAACACACACATCCACTCGTTATCATTATCATCATCTTTATCGACATCCCTCATCCATCGCCATAGCAACCACCACCATCTCTACCACTACCAGCTAGACTTACCCTGTACATGTTAGCTTCCAGGGCCTGTCGATGCAACCTTTCCGAACCACTGTAGTATTCACCTTCACTGAACGATGAGTCACCCTGCAAAAAAAAAATACATGAAAACCTTGTTTAGATACAAGGTGATAAGCCGCCACTTTTTTTTTTACAAAGACTAACATGTAAGTGTTGTACCGCCTCACGTTTCTGTATTTTATAAGACAAGCCAATAAATACGCATAGGACCTTTGCTGTGAGCAGTTGCCATTCATATGTTATAAACATGCTGCAGTTTACTGATTCATATTTGTTCGGGGTCTTGGAAAGGGAAGATTTGTTAGTGATGACGCAGCGAGTTGGCTCAGTCGGTCAAGCCTATGCTTGTCGATCCAAAGATCTCGGGTTTGAATCCCACCCAGGCGGATGACTGAAGCCTGCATTGTGTGTTAACGTGCCCCTCCCCTTGTTCATAGACGGAGGCTATGTTAAGTGGAGAACACTCCGTCCCTCGGATAGGATGTTAAATGGAAGCCCTGTGTAGAGAAGAGTCACTACCTTTGCACGTTAAGAACCCACTGCACTATTCGTATAAGAGTAGGGGGAACCCTGGTGTAGTGGATTACCTGCACACACCCCAGTATAGTACAATAAGAGGTACAATTATGTACTCAAAATGAAGAAAAAAAATGAATATACCAAAGGCCTGACTGAAAAAGTTTTCTTTCCTATTTCTTAGATTTGTTAAATTTATCCTTAAGATCTTAAGTAGGTCTTAATAACTCACTGTATCTTGAATGGCGATGGTTGGTATAGAGGGGTGTCCAGACATACCCCTTCCACCGGACCCACCCCTTCCACCAGACCCGTTAGACCGGTAGCTCCTCTCGTCTTCAGACAGCTCCGCCCCTTGCAAGTTTCTTCTGCTGCCTGCAGGACTGTGGGATTTTCTTGATCTGGACTTCTCATACTGGCTATAATCAGCTGCAAATCAAAAACATATTTGATATTGTCATGAGAATCAGAAAGAGGCTGGTTGCTTGTACATGGCTAATTCCATAAATTAGGGACCCACTTTGTGACATGTCCCTGTTACATAAGGAACCCACACATATTTGTGGCTCTGGGTAAAGACTTAAATAGTGGAGTGAGATTGTAAAATGATTTCCAAGAGTAATATTTCATCCTCATACTTAGAATCACTTAACAATCACACTCCACTATATAAGTCTTTACTCAGAGCCACAAATACGTGTGGGTTCCTTATGTAACAAGGACACCAAAAATTTCACAAAATGGGTCAATAATTTATAGAATTACCCACAAGTATGTCACAACTTTTACCCTCACAGTGCCATAGTCGATTAACTTGCTCAAATTAAAATTCTTGGACAAAAAAAAAGTTTTTTGTTTCCCCCTGAACTTCAGAATAGGCTGATGAAATTTATGGATGTTGATGTGTTGTTCAATTGACTATGAAAAACTCGTCTTTTGGTTTTTGTGCATGTTTGTAAAACTTTATCACACTGTAGTGGTTAAATAAAGGCTTGGTGAAACATCTACCTAGTAGATATTACTTGTGCACTTATATTTAATTTAGAAATGTAGTGATAATCCCATAACAATTTTTCAGAAAACATGTCGTTCAACATCCTTCACTGCTTGATTTGGTATTCAAAAGGATTTAATCCATCGACAGGTACATAACTCGCTCCCCAGCATAACCACATCAAACATGTATGTTCAAGTACGCCATAGAAATGTGTATTCATGTGCCCCTCCTTCCCTCCCCCAAAATAATAAAGACGCAAGAGGTTTTTTTTTTTATTGTCCCTCCCCCCCCCCCCCCCCCCCCACAAGAAAATCCCAGATCTGCCATCACTTTTTTACAGATCTGAACACATTACACTTCTTCCTATTTAAACAGAAACATACTCATAACAAATTATGAAGGGAAAATTGTCACCTGGGAAAAAATTCAATGAAATACAAATAAAAAAAGTACAATTCACAACTCAAAATAAACAAGGAATCATTGTTCACAATGAGAAATAGGAATAACTTCAATATCTATATCCAGATTCTACCAAATGAGTATCTAGTTGTTCTCTCTCTCTCTTTCTTTCTCTCTCTCTCTCTCTCTCATACACACTCAATTTAACTCTATCATTGCCACTTGTATCTACAACAACTTTAAAACGACACATGCAAACATAAAAAAAACAATAACACATACTACACATTTAAGACACTCATAGTGTACCTGTCATATCGAACATGAAAAGCTCGACAACAGTATACAACTCGTTGATAAGGGTGTAGAGACAGACCGCTCATGCAGCCCTCTTAAGGTACCAGGGAGGATCTATTGCATGCAATCTTCTAAGATGACTCCTCAATGAGGGGTAATGCACCAGAGAAAGAGAGAGGTAGGGGGGCCAGGAGCATTGGTAGGAGGTGCAGATACCAGTGGGTGGGTAGATAGAGAGACAGGTGGGTAGGCTGGATGCTTCATCTATAGTACTCTCAGCCACTCAAGACACCGCCCATGGTATACAACACAGGACTAAAAGTGGCTAGGCATTAATCAACTTCACAAGTGGTCTACCTTTTGATTTTTCATCTTTCTAGATATATTCAATCATCATGAAGGATATCTCTTTATAGCAGAACATTTATTTCCTGCTATGGGAGGATTTCCTTGAGTTTCAGTGGGATATAAACGTTCAAATAAGCTAAAGTCAAAGATGAGTTTGGGATAACCAATATTTCATGCTGCACAAGATACCAGTAACAATAAGCTTTGCGAAAAATGATGTCTTTTGTATTTTATGTTTATTTATGTTTCAAAAGATTGTGAGAAGAATCAAAATTCATCAGGGCTTCTTTTGGGGCGACAAATATGTATTTGCTACACAAGATCTTGATGATAAATAATAATCGGAATATGAATGGTTACCATACTTTGGAATGGGAAATATAAGTCCCTAGTTATGTTAAGTATAAATTCATCAATTTGTTATGTTATGTACCGGTATGCCATTACACTTGACATATGGTAAAGGAGAATATATAAATATACACTTGAATATACACAAGGACAAGCTATTCATATCCAACAGTAAAATACAGAATTTGGGGACTGCCATTCAGTAATAAATAATAAACAAGAAACTGAGGGTACCCCTATTGGAGAAGAACATTGCTAAATATGTGATTATTCACCCAATCAAATAATATAAACCAAATAATATCCAAGTATTTATAAGCACCTCCAGTGTGTAGTTCTTGTCATTTTTTAAAACTCAAACAACATTGTACATACCCCCCTCCCCTTTTTGGAATTCTTATACAATCAAGGATATCATGACTTCATTTCTTCTAGTTATATAAATTGTAATAGCTTCAACCACGTTAACATAGAAACTAATTAACATTTGATAATTTGCTTTGAATAAATCAAAATGCTTAGTTTAGTAAACTTTCCCTACACCCTTTTGATGCAATGTATTTTTTCCTCAACTGATATTCCTGCTATTCTCTTTCAAGAAACGCCCACACATTTTATTCAAGGATTTACAATGCACTACCTTCAACTTTTAACACTGTCTCCCCGTTAATACACCTGACTGCATCTCTAAACTTCTTATAACTGTTAAATCCGATAAAAGAATTAAAGGCTTGCAAAATAAAGGAGGGTTGGACATGCAGATTGAGGTGGGACTTGGGAAGTCTGTGAGTTAACGTTTAGCAGGCTTTTACTAAACCACCACCACAATCCATTTCCCATCATGCAGTTACCTCTAATTCTAGAAACAAACAATAACCCAACAAATTTCACAAACACTCAACATGGATAGGTGCGTTCATATTGTTTAAGAAGACATATTTATTTAATTTGTATGAATGCTCCTTGTATGGCTTTAAAGTTGAGAGGCAGAGTGGAAGTGAAAGGATGGGTATCAAATGCTCATGCATCAGAAAGTGGCACTGTTGAATTCATAAGTGGACAAACACCAACAATTATTTTTAAAAAACGGCTGAGTTTTGAAAAATTTGATCTTACTATGAAAAGTTGTGAAGTTAGCTACACACGTTTATGAGCACACTATGAGTTAAAGTGGCAGTTAATTTTGAGCATGGAAAAAGTGTGAACTTTTGGGGGAAACCCGAGGTGCTTGCATGTTTGTTAGTACCATGAACACATATCGTTATTCAATGAATTATGACATGAACTGAAAACAGATATTTTCAGTGTCCTCTTATTCGTATACATTGTGAAAGTAATTCTAATTTTTAAATATTTTCATAGAGTATTTTGAAAAACTGATTGAAAATGAAAACCTGACAAAAATGAGCACGGAACATACTTATAATGTACTAATGACACTTTCAACATACTCAATAATATTTCTTTCAAAACATTCCTACACTCTTTCTTAACTATATCGGTGGATTCAAGTATATCTATACAAAATGGAAGCACCAAAATCTATGATTGGAAGCAGATGTTAATAGCTCTTAACAGACCATCAATACAATTTTACTGTACATAAATAGAAAACAAGTATATACAAAAATGTCTCACTGTCATTGGGAAAAAGGTGGTTTAATACTTCATATTTAAACATTCATTATCTTAGACAACAGATTTAAAGTTGTCGTAAAAACTTAGTGTTCTGCTTCGTTGAAATAGTCTTTAAATATTGTCCCGAGGTAGAGGGTTAATATGGATACAAGGCAAAGGTATAATACTCTGTTTTCAGCCTTTTACCAATAGTTTTTCTTTCCAAATTAAATCTTGAAAGCACTAATGTTCAGATTTTACAACTACAGGTCTTCCAAGCCAATGATCTTTGAGATATTTCTCAATACTTAAATGGTAATGAATTATTTTGCAATTGATGTATTCCAAGCTTGAGTAATGAGCTCACATAAAAACAACAATCAAGAGATATATAATTAAAAAAATATTCTATGTACTGGTGGGTTAATTAAAAAAATATTCTATGTACTGGTGGGTTTATTAAAAATACTGGCTAAGGCACATTTCAAAACAAGTGGCAGTTACTACAATCATAATTAGTCATTTGAGAGCACAGAGAAATACATACAGGAAATTTGTTAACAAACAAAAGTAGCAATGTTATGAACTATTAGATAGAACAAATGACTATAATATTATAAACCCAATTTGATGAATAAAGATATAGAGTTGTTCACATTATCAGATAGTAAGTAAATAAATGCAGTATTTGTTTGAAATATAAATTCCTGTAAATCCCTTAATCTCTCTCAAAACTATTGCTAAAATAACCTTGTGCAATGTTACAAAAACCTGGATAAAATTTCAAAGATCCATTTTGGAAACAAGTTTAACACAGAAAATCACAAAGAACAATATCCCTGAATTAGCTTTTTTAGATGCACAACATCTCTGTATTTCTTTTCTTTAAAACCTTGAGCTGCCTCACACCACAATTGAAGCCAGGAATATACAAATTTGAGTTGAAATAATAATACTGATTCTGGTGATATGCAGACAAGTATACAGAATCGATGCTTTCTTAGTCATGCATACAAGTATCAACCATGGTCCCATCCTATAAAGATAAAGAGTTGTGATGAAGACAATCAATCACAAATCATCACATTTTTAATTACGCATTCATTCATTCATGGCAAGAGAGGAAGCATCATACCTAGTTGGTCAATAATACAACACACCGGTAAATACAGGTTATACATAACATACCAGAAAATACAGGTTCTACATAACATACCGGAAAATACAGGTTCTACACAACATACTGCTAAATACAGGTTCTTCAAATATTGCGTACATGTATGTGTTATCATCCTTACAATTTTGAATCATACGACTGTTCTAGATCTGCATCAAACTCCTCAGGTTCCTCTATAATGACGGAGAGCTCACTGTCTGAACTATCATCAACTGGAACAGAGAATTGTCTGTTCGTTCT